CTCAGCTCCCGCACAGACCCCAAGCCTTGGCTCCAGGATGCCTTTTCTGGCAGGCCTGGCCCTGCCTTCCCCAGCTCTCCCCTCCCCAGCCCTGTCTGGCCTACCCTATCCATCCCAGCCTGCCCTACCCTGCCCTGCCCTCCCTTGCCCAGCCTTTCCAGGCCAGCCCCCCCCTGCACACCCACACTCGACACACACCCCACCCCTTTTCCTCTTCCACTCCTCTTAGGGTCCCTCTTTTGGGTCCCTTCTTCTCTTCCTGCCTCACTTCCTCCCTCCCTTCCCTTCTCTCTCTCCCCAACAGGAATGTGGAATCCCCAAACACTTTGGGCTGTTCTACGCCATGGGCACAGCCCTGATGATGGAGGGGCTGCTCAGTGCTTGCTATCACGTGTGCCCCAACTATACCAATTTCCAGTTCGGTGAGTGGAGCCTTCTTCTTTTCTGGCTCTACCCGCAGCAGGGACCTGCCTGAGTCCTTCACCATCCCCAGGTCACCTACAGGGATTGCTAAGACAGCCCTGTAGGAAACTCCAAGGCTGGCGTGCCTGGGTGTGTACACATCTTAGCCTATGAAACATGGGCACCTAGATGCTCCTTCATTTGTCTGTCAAGCTATTCCTATGTAAAGGCATGTGCCACACTGAAGAAAACAGGATAATTAAGAAGGGGGCCCTGTGCCGAGCACAGTGGCTCACACCTGTAATCCTGGCACTTTGGGAGGCCGAGGCAGGGGGATCGCCTGAGGTCAGGAGTTTGAGATCAGCTTGGCCAACATGGTGAAACCCCATCTCTACTGAAAATGCAAAAATTAGCTGGGTGTGGTAGTGCATGCCTGTAATCCCAGCTACTCGGGGGGGCTGAGGCAGGAGAATTGCTTGAGCCCAGGAGGCGGAAGTTGCAGTGAGCCGAGACCCTGCCCTTGCACGCCAGCCTGGGCAATAGAGTGAGACTCTGTCTCCAAAAAAATAAAAGGGCGTCCCTGATCTCAGGGTGCTCACAGACTAAGACACAGACCAAGTTGTCTCTGTCTTCAGGAGATGTTAGACTCTGGGCGACGGCCAGTGGGGTGGCAGTGTGGTGTGGCATGTACGCAGTGTGGTGTGGCAGGTACAACTAAGGTACTAAAGTTCAAGTGCCACCCCACCACCAGCTCGCTCCACAGCCATGGCAGGGCACCAGGGCTCTCTCTTCCTCTGGGATTGCTGGGGCCAGGAGTTCTCTGCTGGGGCTTGGTGGCCATTTCTGCAGCTCCCTTCCGTGTCCCTCATCCTAGACACATCGTTCATGTACATGATCGCCGGACTCTGCATGCTCAAGCTCTACCAGAAGCGGCACCCAGACATCAACGCCAGTGCCTACAGTGCCTACGCCTGCCTGGCCATCGTCATCTTCTTCTCTGTGCTGGGCGTGGTGAGGGCCTGACCTGCTCTGCTCAGCCTGTATGATAGGATAGGTGCACGCGCATTCACACACGTGGTGCACACCCTCCGCCACCTCCTGCAGGAGAGATTCCTGCTCCTCTCCTCTCCTGAGATGCCTTCCTGGGCCCCTCTCTGAGTCCCAGCCTGGCTGAGCAGCGAGCCCCAGGAAGGGTGGGCCATCCAAGCCACTTCCCTCTGCGCCCTCACCGCTGCCCTTGGTGGCCTCCCGACAGGTCTTTGGCAAAGGGAACACGGCGTTCTGGATTGTCTTCTCCGTCATTCACATCATTGCCACCCTGCTCCTCAGCACGCAGCTCTATTACATGGGCCGCTGGAAACTGGGTGAGGGCACACCTGGGGCAGGGCCTGGGGGAGGGGTCTGGGAGGCCTCAGGAACCCGGACGCACGGGAGTCGTTCAGGTTCTGTCTTCCTGGGGGCCCTGGAGGAGTCACTGGGTGAGGAATTAGATCAGGCCTGGGCTCCTCAGCTGGCACATCCCAGGGGTCCGGCAAAGGAGGGTGCCCCGTGCCTGTCAGCGCCACTCCCTTCTCTGTGCAGACTCGGGGATCTTCCGCCGCATCCTCCACGTGCTCTACACAGACTGCATCCGGCAGTGCAGCGGGCCGCTCTACGTGGTACCTGCCCGGCTCTCCTGCCCCATTCTCCACATCTCCTTTCTTCCCTCTGATGGGGGAGTGGGCCTGGGCTGAGGACCCAGGGGAGGGTGGGGACCAGCTGGCTGGGCCTTCTTCCACCACCCTCCCTGGCCCTGCCCTCAGTCCCCGTGTCCTGCTTCCCTCCAGGACCGCATGGTGCTGCTGGTCATGGGCAACGTCATCAACTGGTCACTGTGAGTACAGTCGGGGGTAGCGGCCTGGCTGGGTGGACAGCTGGGGACTCAGCCAGCCACTGGCTGCATCAGGGGCTGAGGACAACTTCCAAATGTTGGGCATAAGACATGAGGGCTAAGAAGAGAGGTCTTGGCCTCTCCTCTCTCTCTTGGCATCTGGGCTTCTAGAATCTTCTGTGGGCCTCGGAATGCAGCCCAACATCATAATAAAACATGGCGGGGCAGGGCAGGAAGAGTGCTTCCTTGCCTTTGGCCTTTCTGCTTCACCACCCTTCGTCCCTCCTGCCAGGGCTGCCTATGGGCTCATCATGCGCCCCAACGATTTCGCCTCCTACTTGTTGGCCATTGGTATCTGCAACCTGCTCCTTTACTTCGCCTTCTACATCATCATGAAGGTGAGCGGGGCTGGCACTCTATCAGATCCTCTGCTTTCTGGGGAGAGAGATGGTCCCGGCAGCACTGAGGGGCAGTGAGACTGCTGGTTGCGGAAGGGAGAGGCTAAAGCCTCTTGCATGGGCCCCTAGGAGCCAACTGCAGCCCAAAGGCCATTTTCTGAGCCCCTTCCAAGGACCCTTGAAATGGGTGGCATTTTAGGCTGCCGTTGTAAGTGCCCCTTTCCATGCAGAAGGGGCCGAGGGGAGGTAGGGTGTGGGCCTCCCAGGATCAGGTGCTTCCCCAGGAACCATCCTGCCATCCAATCTGAGTGGAGCCCCCTGCATAGGGAGCACCTCCAGGCCAGTACACTGTCCCGACATAGGGTTCTGGATGCATGGAGGCTGGGTGGGGTGGACATCGGGGCAGGGGCAGGTTGATCTCTGTGGTTGTGTGGAATGGTATGAATCCAAGGAGCAGTCCTGAAGGCCTGGGAGGCCATGAGGAAAGGGAATCTGGGAAAGGCTGGGTGGGACAGTGGGGTGGGACAGGGGTGAGCCCTCAGACTGCTGTCCCTTCATGGCCCCTCCCAGCTCCGGAGTGGGGAAAGGATCAAGCTCATCCCCCTGCTCTGCATCGTCTGCACCTCGGTGGTCTGGGGCTTCGCACTCTTCTTCTTCTTCCAGGGACTTAGCACCTGGCAGGTGAGCACTCACCCACAGGCTCCTCACGAGCCCACAAGTAGCCAGTCCTCTTTTCAGACATTGTTTGGGGCTGGGCCTGGTGGTTGATACCTGTAATCCCAGCACTTTGGGAAGCTGAGGCAGGAGGATCGCTTGAGGCGTTCAAGGCCAGCCTGGGCAATATAGTAAGAACCCGTCTCTACAAAAAATGAAAAAAATAAAAATAAAAAAGTTAGCCTGGTGTGGTGGCATTCACCAGTAGTGCAGTAGTCCTAGCTACCCCGGAAGCGGAGGCAGGAAGAGAGCCTGCGCAGGAGTTCGAGGCTGCAGTGAGCCAAGATCGCACCACTGTGCTCTAGCCTGGATGACAGACCCCGTCTCTAAAAAAAATTTTTACACAAACATCATTTGGGAACACCTACCATAGGCCAGCACTTTCATAGCAGCTGTCCCAGTTAATCCTCCTAGAATTCCAGCCTGGAGATAGCTCCATTTTACTTAACGAGGCAGATGAGGCTCAGAGAGGCCACATGACTTCCCCAGAGCACGTCGCCAGTGAGTGGCACAGCTGGTGTTTGAAGCCAGCGAGGCTGGGCTCTCTTCTCTGCCTTGCAGGGCACCTACCACATGTCAGGCTTTAATTCTGGGAACAGAACTAAGTCTGACATGGTCTCTGAGGGACTCATAAACTAGACGAAGAGGGCTGGAAGGACTCTTGGTGCATGACTCTCAGTGCTGTTTATGATGTGATACATAAAATGAAGGGCACAGGCAAGACGGGGCAGGAGGACAGAAGACTAAGGGGTCTCTCCGAGTTAGGAGTCCAGGAAAGCTTCCTGGAAGAAGTGGGCCTTGTTCTGGGCTATAAAAGTCCTGGGTGAGGGGGGCTGGGCACAGTGGCTCACGCCTGTAATCCCAGCACTTTGGGAGGCTGAGGTGGGCAGATCACGAGGTCAAGAGATCGAGACCATCCTGGCCTACATGGTGAAACCCCATCTCTAGTAAAAATACAAAAATTAGCTGGGCGTGATGGTGTGTGCCTGTAGTCCCAGCTACTCGGGAGGCAGAGGCAGGAGAATTGCTTGAACCCGGGAGGTGGAGGTTGCAGTGAGCCGAGATCTCTCCACTGCACTGCAGTCTGGCAACAGAGCAAGACTATGTCTCAAAAAAGAAAAAAAAAACAGGTTTGGGAAATGGGGAAGAGCCCCATGGCCCAGACCTGCTCTGACCTTAGTAGTAATGATACGGGGCAGATTTGGACGTCAGTGAATGCACTCATCTGGGAGCCAAGCCGACTGTGAGGGTGGGGCAGGTCTTGGTGATGTCTGTGGCCTCGGCATGTAGCACAGACAGACACGGCCTGGATGAGCTTATGGGATAGAGCTTATGGGTAGAGCAGGGAAGACCGTGAGTGCTACAGGTTATGGCTACTGTCCCAGAGCAGGGGTGTGACCTGACAGTAGTGCTTTGGAAAAACCAATGAACCTGCAGAAAGATGAGAGCAGGGGCGGAGTCCAAGGCCGGGAAGTGGGTGAGAAGCCTTCTGCCATCCCTCAGCTGAAGGCCTTCAAGGTTGTTGCAACCCTGTGCTCTTAGATCAAGGGAAGAGAATCAGAAGGAAGGAGGGTAAGAGTGAAAGAAAGGGGAAGAGAAGCCAGTGAACTCAGGGAGAAGTTTGTAACCAAAGGCCATTTCTTAGATCGGGAAGGGGTGGGGACAAGGGACAGGTCAGAATTGCTGCTGTCCTGCCTGGGGCTGGAGAGAGGGGTGCCCAGGAGCAAGATGGCAGATGGGTCTGGCCCTGGCAGAGCAGGGTCACTCGGCAGTTTTTCTTGTTGCTCCCCAAGAAAACCCCTGCGGAGTCAAGGGAGCACAACCGGGACTGCATCCTCCTCGACTTCTTTGACGACCACGACATCTGGCACTTCCTCTCCTCCATCGCCATGTTCGGGTCCTTCCTGGTAAGCGGGCCTCTCGGCCAAGCCGGGTGGGTGCGTGAAGGTAGCAGCTGCCTCCTTCTCTGTGGCTGATCTGGCGTCCACCCCCCAGGTGTTGCTGACACTGGATGACGACCTGGACACTGTGCAGCGGGACAAGATCTATGTCTTCTAGCAGGAGCTAGGCCCTTCGCTTCACCTCAGGGGGCCCTGAGCTCCTTTATGTCATAGTCCGGGCACTCTGTCGTGCTGTGGTGATGAGTCCCAGCACCGCTGCCCAGCACTGGATGGCAGCAGGACAGCCAGGTCTAGCCTAGGCTTGGCCTGGGACAGTCATGGGGTGGCATGGAGCCTTGCAGCTGTCCTCTGCCAAGGAGGAGGCCTGCTCCCCTGGAACCCCCGGACATTGGCCAAATTGCTGCTTTCTTCTCTTCCATGGGCCCCCGTCCTTTGGCTCTCCATTTGTCCCTCTGCAAGAGGAAGGATGGAAGGAACACCCTCCCCATTTCATGCCTTGCATTTTGCCCGTCCTCCTCCCCACAATGCCCCAGCCTGGAACCTAAGGCCCCTTTTTCCTCCCATACTCCCGCTTCAGGGCCTAGTCTGGGGCCTGAATCTCTGTCCTGTATCAGGGCCCCAGTTCTCTTTGGGGCTGTCCCTGGCTGTCATCACTGCCCATTCCAGTCAGCCAGGATGGATGGGGGTATGAGATTTTGGGGGTTGGCCAGCTGGTGCCAGACTTTTGGTGCTAAGGCCTGCAAGGGGCCCGGGGCGGTGAGTACTATCTTCCCTCTGACCTGTGCTCAGGGCTGGCTCTTTAGCAATGCGGTCAGCCCAATTTGAGAACAGCCTTCTGATTCAAGAGGCTGAGTTCAGAGGTCACCTCCTTGTCCCATCAGCCCCCAGACTGATGCCAGCACCAGGACTGGAGGGAGAAGCACCTCACCTCTTCCCTTCCTTTCCAGGCCCTTAGTCCTGCCAAGCCCCAGCTGGGGGCCTTTCAGTGCCATTGACGCTGCCCAGGAATGTCCAGGGGCAAAGGAGGGACGGTACAAAGAGTTCAGCTCGTGCCGCCTCCACAGCCGCGGGCGCCCCAGTGCCTGCCTTAGAAAGGGGCCTCAGGAAGGGATGCGCTGTTTCCCTGTACGTGCCCAGTCCTAGCCTCGTTCTAGGACCCAGGGCTGGCTTCTGAGTTTCCGTCCAGTCTTCAGCCAAGTTCTGTTAGTCACGCACACACATGCCTACGAAACCTTGGAGTTTACACTGAGTTGCCCCAGCTCTGGGCGCCCTGGCCACCCTGGTCCTTGGAGCCCCTTCGTCCCCCCACCTGGTCCGCTCCAGATGCCAAGGATGGGGGAGCTCAGGTGGGGCCTCTGCCTTGGGGATGGGAATGTGTTTTATTCTCCCAAACTTGTTTTTATAGCTCTGCGTGGGCTGGGAGATGAGGTGGGTCTGGATCTTTTCTCAGAGCGTTTCCATTCTATGGTTGCATTTCCGTTTTCTATGAATGAGTTTGCATTCAATAAAAAACCAGACTCAGCTGTTGGGCCCCTTGTTTGCACTCCCTCTCTGGGTGGAGCTGTTGAGGATGAGGGGAGAGGCGAAGGGCCTCCATCTCCCCTTCCTTCAAGCCATGGCCCTACTGGGAACTGCAGTTCCTTGATTCTCCCATTTTTCCTGTCTCTCCAGCAACAGCATTAATTCAGTAAACACTTACCGGGGCACTGTGCTGGATAGAGGCTGGTTACTGAAAAAGCCTTTCCCACGCCATCCCCCCAGACACCCATGCTTACCTCCCCAGGAACAGCAGTCTCTGCCCACCTGGCCCCGCCCGCCAGACTGAGGCTCGCTTCACCTCTGACCCGAGTGCCCCCCAGCTCACCAGGCCACAGGCCACAGGCCCAGGCAGTGCTCCCTGATGGGGCGTTTGTAATCTGCTGAGCATGCAGGCTGAGTCAGGAGGGTGATGGAAGCTGGGCGGGTTCCAAGAGGAGGGAGTTTTGATATGTCCCTGAAAGGTTCATTGAGACTTCAGTCAGCTAAGGAGGACACGATTTGGAGGCCAAGGAGTTTGGTGAATTCAGAACACAACCAGAGGTCTGCGGCGTCAGGGATGGAGGAGTGGGCTTTTTCCCCTTGCCAGGGCCCCGCTCCTCTTCCTGCTCTTCCCGCAGGCGCCACTGGGAGGTGCTATGGCTGTGCCTCCCCTGGGCTCGAGCGCGTCTGGCTGCAGTGGGCAGAACTGCAGAGGTGGGTCTCTCCTCTGCCAGGCCTGGCAGCCCCCTCCTAGGGCCTTGTTTGGCTTGGGGTGGTGCCGGGTGTGGTGGCGTGTGTGTAGCGGACAGTGTTAGGTCCTCCCTACCAGGTGCCCTTGCAGGGGAGTGCCACAGCAGGCAGTCCAGGGACCCCACTGTTAGTCTCACCTTTTTTAACCTCCTGTCTCTCCCCAGGATCCCTGAAGCCAGGTACAAGCAAGATGGGAGTGGGTCATCTCCGTGGAGGGACAGAGGCTGGTCTGTTCTCCAGGCTGGTAGGGACTGTTACTAAAGGGAGGAAGGGATACCAGCCTCCTGAGTCTCCTGTTCCTGCGTTAGTGTCTCAGGCCCTGCCAGGCCTTAGAGACCCTCTTATTGACACTGCCCACTGGATGGGACCAGAGTTGGACACAGCTTCTGCCGAACCCTCAAATCCCAGCCTAAAGCATGTAACTCAAGACCTACCTGAACTGAAAGCTCTTCTCAATCTGGGCAGTGTGGTACAATTGAAAGGGTGGGTCTGACCACCTCTCCTGCACCCACGAGAGTCGGCAGAGGTGCGCAGGATCTGCCACTCACCATTCACCATGTGGCCTTGAGGAAGATGCACTCGGGGCCTCAGTTTCCTCATCTGTAAAATGGGGATGTAATTACATCCTCACAGTGTAGCTGTGAGTATTCACTGAGAGCACTGCAGAGGGCCTGGTGTGGAGTAGGTCCTCAGGAAAGGTTGGATCCATGTCCCATCAGAGCTAAAAGCCCCAGGAGGAGAGGGGGGCTGGTTTATCCCCACAAACCCTTGGGATCCCCAGCTCCCCAGCCCCTTGCCCCTTTCTCCACCCAGACTCTATTGAACTCCCCCTCTTCTCAAACTCGGGGCCAGAAAGCAGTGAAGCAGGAGCAGCCGTAAGTCCGGGCAGGGTCCTGTCCATAAAAGGCTTTTCCCGGGCCGGCTCCCCGCCGGCAGTATGCCCCGCCCTGGCCCGCTCCATCTCCAAAGCATGCAGAGAATGTCTGGGCAGCCCCGGTAGACTGCTCCAACTTGGTGTCTTTCCCCAAATATGGAGCCTGTGTGGAGTCACTGGGGGAGCCGGGGGTGGGGAGGGGAGCCGGCTTCCTCCAGCAGGGAGGGGGCCGAGGAGCAAGCCAGCGGGGGAGGCTGACATCACCACAGCGGCAGCCCTTTAAACCCCTCACCCAGCCAGCGCCCCATCCTGTCTGTCCAAGCCCAGACACAAGTCTTCACTCCTTCCTGCGAGCCCTGAGGAAGCCCTGTGAGTGCACTGGCTGGGGCTTGGAGGGAAGTTGGGCTGGAGATGGACAGGAACAGTGGGTGCATTTCAGGCAGGCTCTCCTGAAGTCCCAGGCGCCAGCTCCTGGCTGGGGAAAAACTCACCTCTCAGTCTGCGTGGGGGCCCAAGCTCCAGGCAGAGTGGGCTGGATCGCTAGTGTCCTGGATCTCTCTCAGACCGGGCAGCCCTGGGCTCATTGTAATGCCTGGGATGACTTGGCTGGTGCAGAGGAATTGATGGTGGAAACCACCGGGGTGAGAGGGAGGCTCCCCATCTCAGTCAGCCGCATCCACAGGGTGTGCGTAAGGCTGCAGGCGCTGGCTGGTTAGGCCAAGGCTCTGCTGTCTGTCGCCCCTCTAGAACCTCCAAGGATGTGAGGAGTGGGTGAATGCACCTATGTTAGAGCACGGTGTCCCACTCTGGCGGGTCCCCAGGGCCTGAGCAGCAGCGATAGCCCTGCGACAATGTGAAGGGCCACAGAACTCTTGTATTCCACAGTCTGGGGCAGCAGAGTGTGGAGATGGGAGGCCTGTCCTTCCGACAAGCAGCCCCTTCCACTGTCTGACAGTGGGAGGTCACCCGCACTGTAGCAGAGGGGTGGGGGCGGGTACTGCCAAGGAGGAGCTTCGGAGTGATGGACAGGGCAGGCCTGGGACCCTTGGTCTTCTCCAAAGCGTAGTTTCCTTTCAAGGTACTATTCCAAAGGTAGCAGTGAGGATGGCGCGCATTTATGTAGCCGGGCCACTCTGTTTGTCCGTGGAGTGGAGAGGAGCCACCCTCCTGCCCTCTCAGAGGTCCTGATGTGCTCACTCCTATTTGGGAAGAGAGAAGGGGCACAGCAGCCCTGCAGGGTCCCCTGGTTCTACTCACGTTTCTGGGCTTCTGCTGGTAGGGGGTGCCACCTGCCCATTTGCCCCGGACTTTCTTTCTCCACTGCCCACTTTCACCTCAGCTCAGGGGAGGGGCCCTGGCAGGAGCCACAGGGCAGGAGGGTCCAGGCCTGTCCATGCTGTCCTGGGAGTGTCTTGAGATGCCCCTGGGTGGGCTGCCCCGTAGTCATCCTCCTCTCCCCTCCCCACTGGCTCGAAGGTGGGTCTGGGGAGGCTTCATCAGAGGACTCTAAAGGGTTTCTGGGGATTCTCCACCTTCAGACCCTGACCCAGGAGGAGGAAGGGGAAGGATGGTGGTGCTGGGTGGGAGTGGGGGTGGTGTGTGCTTCATCCTCCCTCTGACCAAAATCCAAATCTTATCTCTAGATCTGGGGGCTGCAGTGTTGTGTACCTGCCACCCTTAGCCTTGCTGCTTTGACCTGTACTGTCTGTTCTGATCCTCCTGAGACTGGAAGCTGGGGGGTAGGGGGCACACACTCTTTCCATCTGGTTCCTCAGGAGCCCAGCAGGGGTGCAGGAGGGGAAGGCAGGCATGAGGGCAGGTGGAGTGGGGGGCAGAAGCAGGGCCAGGGACAGAAGGTGGGTGCCTGTCTGGGATGGTGATGCAAAAGCTGAGACAGGCTGGGATGGATGGAGGCCAGGATGCAGGGCTACCGAAATCACCTGGTCCCAGCTGGCTTGGGGGTTTGGACCACAGTTCTTTGTGCAGGAGTCCTTGGGTGTTTGGGGAGCGGGGCTGGGACACTTAGGGTGAAGGGAGGGATTGGCTGTTTGTAGCTGAACAGTGGAACAGAGCACTGTCTCTGGGGTCTCTGGCATCACTGGCAGGGAGAGGGCTGGCTGGGCCAGAAGCCCACCTCATCCCCAGTGCTCAGAGAACTGGGTCCTCAGCGGTGGTCCTGTCCCCACTTTACACATAAGGAAATAGACGCAAGGAGGAGAGGGATGCCCAATGGCAGGCGCCTCGATGAGTCCATGTGAACGCTGCTGCGTGCTCAGGGAATGATGGTGAGAAAGGGGTGGAGGCTGGAGCGGGCAGCAAGGAACTGACATTTCTAGGTCAGTTTTTCACTCCTTGGTCAAAAGCAGGCTCTCTCCCTGGTCATTACCAGGAGCCTGGCTCTGGGCAGCAAAGAACTGACATTTCGAGGAGCTCTGCTAAGGGCTGGGCAATATGTGAGGGAGTTCACAGACACCGTCCCATTTTCACAGCCCTCTGAGGTCGATAACATAACCCCCACTTCATGGATGAGGAACTCGAGCCCAGAAAGGCTGTCAGCCCTGGGAAAGGAAGGGCAGGGCACTGGGCTGGGCAGCTGGCCCGGGACCGCTGGGGTGTGATAGTGTTCGCTCTGCTTCCCGCAGGTGGGGTGCCAGTGAGGAGGGGTCTCACCAGAGGGGGGGCCGGGAGAGCACGCTCTTGCCTCCATCCTCAGACCAGTGTGTCCCTCCCAACCTCTGACCCTCTGAGGCCAGGAGATGGGTTCGGCTTCCTTTGGTACCTCTTTTGGAAGTCTCTTCAGACAAACACTGGAGAGAAGGCACAGCACCCTAGGGTGACATTAGTGGCCAAGTCAGGTTCCTGTTCCTGTTCCCAGCCACCCCCATCCATCTGCCCAGGGACCTACCTGCCTGGCCTGCTCCTGCTGCCACCCCTCTCCATGAGTGGGACTCCTGAGCAGTGCCAGGCCCAGGCCCTCAGGGTGGCAGTTGCTGGATGGGGCCGGGCTTCCCATTCCCTGGCAGGCAGACTCTTGGCTCTGGAAGATCCCTGGGGGACTCTGACTTCTTGGTTACTCAGGCTACTCCTTAAGGGTAGCCTTATGAGACCATAAGGGCATGAGGGGAAGTCGATGGGTAGACCAGGTGTCTCTGGTTCCTCTGAGGAAATGCAGCTTCTTTGCCAAGAGCTCTTGGGCTTTGGTGGCTTCCTAGCCCTTGCCTGGGGTGGGCAAGTTTTAGTCTCTTCAGCTGCAGACCAGAAGCTGAGCTGACCTGAAAAGAGCTGCAGTTCTGGAGTTCCGGCTTCCAGGCCAGGGCCAGCTTCTGGGTGAGAGTGGGAGGTGATGCTTCCTCGAGGCAGAGGCAGTAAACCCTCACACCTGCTGCTGGACAAACGCCCCAGCTGGCTGTATTCTGTGCGGGCAATGTGGCTTCTGGAAGATCTCTCCAGTGGCTCTGTGGCTGGTCTTGGCAAAGAATGTTCTAGACCAAGGGTTGTCAAACTACAGCTCATGGGCCAAATCCAGCCTGCTGTCTGCTTTTGTAAATAAAGTTTTATTGGAACAAAGCCATGTTCATTTGTTACATATTGTCTATGGCTGCTTTCCCACTGCAACAGCAGAGACCACATGGCCTGCAAAGCGTAAACTATGTTCTGTCTTGTCCTTTACAAAAACAGTTTACTGACCCCTGCTCTAGACCTCCAAAGACCTGGTATCCTGTTTCCTGGTGTTCAAGTTCAGAGAGGTGTCTAGACTAGGGGCTGAGCCTGGCCTGGGGGCTGAGCCTGGCCTGAATGTCTAGGATGGCTGGGTACCCTGCACAGAGCCAGAAGGCCACCTGGCACAGGTGAAAGCAGAGCTGCTCCCTGATCCTCTGACCCTCTGCCCTTCCCTCCTCCACCCTGGCCTGCTTTAGCTCTCCCCAAACATGGCCAACAAGGGTCCTTCCTATGGCATGAGCCGCGAAGTGCAGTCCAAAATCGAGAAGAAGTACGACGAGGAGCTGGAGGAGCGGCTGGTGGAGTGGATCATAGTGCAGTGCGGCCCTGATGTGGGCCGCCCAGACCGTGGGCGCTTGGGCTTCCAGGTCTGGCTGAAGAATGGCGTGGTGAGTGGCACCCTGGGCTGGGGGGCTAGGGTGTGCCACCTTGTGAGTCCTGGACCAATCCCTGAGCTGAGTGCTAAGCTGCGTCCTATGCCCTATGCCTGGTAGATTCTGAGCAAACTGGTGAACAGCCTGTACCCTGATGGCTCCAAGCCGGTGAAGGTGCCTGAGAACCCGCCCTCCATGGTCTTCAAGCAGATGGAGCAGGTGGCTCAGTTCCTGAAGGCGGCTGAGGACTATGGGGTCATCAAGACTGACATGTTCCAGACTGTTGATCTCTTTGAAGGTAGAGAGGAAGAAAGGGCTGGGGGAGGAGGTGGGCAGGAGGACAGGGTGCTGGGGCAGAGAGAGGGGATGACCAGAATATGCCACAACTAGGGGTGTGCTCGCCTGCACACAGCAGGGATGGGATATGCCGAGAATAACACGCCACGCTCACAGGGCCCACTGAGAGGCCTCCCTTGAATTGGGGACAGCTCTTGCCCCTGGTTTGGCCATTTTTTTGTGAGAGACGGGGGCAGGCCCTGGCTTGGAGTCTTGTTTATACGTTCTTGATACTCGTCTCCTCTCTCCTGTCTTCTCACAGGCAAAGACATGGCAGCAGTGCAGAGGACCCTGATGGCTCTGGGCAGCTTGGCAGTCACCAAGAATGATGGGCACTACCGTGGAGATCCCAACTGGTTTATGAAGTATGTGGCCCCCAGGGAGCTTGTGTCTCCACATGGGGTGGGAGACAGCTTGTGCTAAGGAGCTTGCGGGAAGGATTAGGGGAAGCAGATAGCCAAGAAGGGATGAAGTGGGGGTCTGAGATCGGGAATAACGGGTCCTTAATACTCCTTGACCCCTCCCTTTCCACCCTCTTGCGCTCAGTCTCCCTAGCCTATGAGGCAAGCTAGATTAGGGAAAAAACATGAAACAGGAAGGCAATGGGATTGGGCTAGGACGTAACAAGAGGGATCAGAAAACAGGTGGAAAACACACAGTTCTAGCAAGTCTTTATCCTGGTTCCTCCTTTTCTAGGAAAGCGCAGGAGCATAAGAGGGAATTCACAGAGAGCCAGCTGCAGGAGGGAAAGCATGTCATTGGCCTTCAGATGGGCACCAACAGAGGGGCTTCCCAGGCCGGCATGACAGGCTACGGACGACCTCGGCAGATCATCAGTTAGAGGGGAGAGGGCCAGCCCTGAGCCCTGCCCTCCCCAGCTCCCTGGCTACAGCCATCCCGCTTAGCCTGCCTCACCCACACCTGTGTGGTACCTTCAGCCCTGGCCAAGCTTTGAGGCTCTGTCACTGAGCAACGGTAACTGCACATGGGCAGCTCCTCCCTGTGTCCCCAGCCTCAGCCCAACTTCTTACCCGAAAGCATCACTGCCTTGGCCCCTCCCTCCTGGCTGCCCCCACCACCTCTACTGTCTCCTCCCTGGGCTAAGCAGGGGAGAAGCGGGCTGGGGGTAGCCTGGATGTGGGCTAAGTCCACTGTCCTCCTTGGCGGCAAAAGCCCATTGAAGAAGAACCAGCCCAGCCTGCCTCCTATCTTTTCCTGGAATATTTTTGGGGTTGGAACTCAAAAAAAAAAAAAAAAATACATCAATCTTTTCTCAGGCCTGGCTGGCAGAGTTTGATTTGCTCTGGTCACTTCTGTTAGGGTTCCAAATCTGAGCAGGGGACAGGCAGGCATCTCAGGCTTGTATGTGTTCCTGGCTGCCGTCCTCTGAAGGACCCTTCACGTGCCAGGATTCTGGGAGGGTCAGATTCTCTCAGAGGAAACAGGCCGTAGAAGAACAGGAGACCAAAGGGAAAAATCTCAGGGACCGAAGGGAAAAAGGAGCCACTCAGCAGTGTGCAGCGATTTTGGGGAAACAGAGGAAAGGAGAGATTGCAAGTGGCAGAATTGTTTGGAAGGTTTTTATTTTGGAAAAGCTGTGCAGAAAAAAATTCAAGAAAATGTTGCTGTGAGAAGAGAAAAACAAATCTGTTTTTTTTTTCTTTTTTTTTTTTTTTTGAGACGGAGTCTCGCTCTGTCGCCCAGGCTGGAGTGCAGTGGCCGGATCTCAGCTCACTGCAAGCTCCGCCTCCCGGGTTCACGCCATTCTCCTGCCTCAGCCTCCCGAGTAGCTGGGACTACAGGCGCCCGCCACCTCGCCCGGCTAAGTTTTTGTATTTTTAGTAGAGACGGGGTTTCACCGTGTTAGCCAGGATGGTCTCGATCTCCTGACCTTGTGATCCGCCCGTCTCGGCCTCCCAAAGTGCTGGGATTACAGGCTTGAGCCACCGCGCCCAGCCAGAAAAACAAATCTTAAGCATTAAAAAAAAATTCAACCAACTAGCTCAGAAGAGGGGAGAAGGCCAAGGTTGAGAGAAGAGTCACAGCCTGTCAGGCAGATAGTTGGCCTCCGGCAGGAAGGCCATTTCCCTGAGCACTTGCAGAGGAAGACAGGGTGGTGGCAGGACTGGAGTGGCAGTGGCTCCCAAGGCTCTCTCCTCCAACACGCGCGTCTGCCATCTGCTCTGCAGTCCTGCCGCAGGATTCCCTAGTGAAGCAGCTCAGGCCTGGGGGAGCCGTGTGTATCCCAGCTGTGCCAGCAGCATCATACCAATCGTGGGGGCGGAGGTGAAGGAGCCAGGGGTTCATTCAAGTTGGCTTCTGATCAGGCATCTTGGGAATGGATGATGGAGGTAGCCGCTTTCAGGACAGGCATGTCCAGGGGCTCCTCCCAGCCCCTACCCCAAAGTCCTCTTCCCAAGTGACCCCAGTGACGTTTCCATTGAGATACGCTCCTGGCTATGGCAGGCATCTTCTTAACTCATGTGTGGGTGGGGGTCCCCCATGTGTGGGGAACCTAGGCAACCGGCTTGGCCCAAGAGAGATGAGGATGGAGGCCAACCCAAAGGCGGCACCAATCCCCTGTCCAACACCTTCTCGCCAAAAGTTCCCGTTTGGCTGGAGGAAGCCCCTGTGGCTCTGACCAGACTTCTCTGGCAGCAATCCTCTGCCATTTGTATCTTAAGAAGGCCCTCACCCTCTTTGAGTGGAGTCAGAGGATGCCTCAGATTCCACATGTAAGCAACAGGGCTGCTTTCTCTCAAGAGCTCTCTAATTTTGGGAAAGAAGAGCCTGTCCCACACTGTCAGGCCCTGAGGTCAGCAGATCTGCTCCTCCTTCCCGTGCAGTAGGTCGTCTAGGTGCTGATGAGGGCAGTCCAGGGTGCTCTTGTTCTGAGACAGGCTCCAGTCCCCTTGCTCCAGCAGGTCTGGGACAAGGAGGTCAGAGGTGGTGGGAGGGCCCCTGCTCTCTGTTTCCACTTCGTCTGGATCCTTGCTGCTGCAAAGTGGCACTGATTCTAGCTCTGTCCCTTCCTCCTTGGCTTTCCGGCTCCGATGGGGCCAGTGGCAGGGTCCACTCCTACAAACTTGGTTGGAAGCCACATTCCTCTGGCTCAAATATACTTCCAGCATGTAGTAAACGGTCCAGAAGACGGTGAAACAGCCTACCAGCACCAGGGTCTGGGGTCGAGGCAAGCACCTACGTGAGGCACTGTTTCCCGAAACCTACAAGCTTTCTCAGCCCAGGACAATGAGCTCAGAAAGTCTTTTTCCTTCTAGGGACTGCCTTTTTCACACCAACTCTTCCCCCTGCCCCCTCCCCCGACAAGACCTGTCCTATAAGTTAGGCTAGCAGGGTAGGAGCAATGCTATGAAACCACTGCTGGGACCCAGGTCTTCCCAGTCCTTCGCCACGCAGGTCACCCCGAGAAGCACACTAAGAACTCCATCCCCAAGACAGGACAGTCCCGTCTACCCGCAGCTTGAGTCTTGGCCCTAGTACCTTGAGGGTGTTGGGGGTGATGGTGTAACCATCTTCCTCAGGAATTTTCAGCCCCGGTGGGCAGGGCAGGGTGAAGTCATCGTGCAGGTATTTTCCACTCATGGCACTCTCTAGCAGCCTGTGGAGAAGAAAAGAGGATGCCCCACTGACTGTGGTGCCTATACCATCTGCCCTCACCCATCTTCCCCTCTTACAGCTGAAGACAGGGAAGCCCCACAGCAGAAAGGAGAGGCCCAGACTGAGTTCCCAGCCCAGGGCTCCATCTCCTGGCTTGAGGCTGGAGCTGGGAAACACAGCCGGGGTTCAGAGGGCGATGGGCTCCCTAGGCGGCCCTTCCCCTGTGAGTGGCCTTCCATCTGACACATGCAGCTTTACCCACCTTTGTCTGTCCCTGATGTCTACTGGACTCCACACAGAGCCATATAGGGTCAGCTGCCATTGCCGGAGGATGCCGACCTGGAATGACTCATCCCCTAGGGCAGCAAGGGGCAGCTCGTGAGCTACGCCCCTCTGTCAGCCATGCCAAACAGCAGAGGCCCTGCCCACCCTGCCACCCAAAGGAGCTCAGGCCACATGGTCTGCTCTAGGAGCTGCCTCACTCTGTCCCACCGACCCCAGGATCTGCAGAAGGGCCTCACTGGGTGCCCCTAGGGATGGAAAAGGTTGAAAGGTTGTACTCCAAAGCAGAGTCTTGCTTTTCTCTCCCATATTTTGGGGGTTCAGCTGGGATTCTGCTTGGAGAAAATGTCTTTCTACCAAATTAAAGAAAGCTTTGAAAACCACTGGTCTAGTGAATACCTAACTTGACTGGAGGATGGGAGGGTTGAGCTCAATTTCCAGTCTATACGCTGACACTGAAGAGATTCAAAGTTCACGGACATTGTGGCCTTCACTTATGGTGACCTTCCACAAGTCACCTCAAACCTCTGGGCCAATTAAAAAAAAATGGTGAAATGAGTCCCGCCCTTACCTGCCTACCGGGGCTGGCCGAAGGATGGTTATACGTAAAAGGACTTGAAATGTGGTTTCAACAAGGACTTTTGTTGCTATTCTAGGAAAATGGGTGGGTCACTCCTCCAGGGAATATGAGAGGCAGTATAAATGAACAGTTTCAGATAGCAATGCCCATTTCATGGATGGGACACACTCTTGGCATCAACCCTCTTGGTCCAATGGCAACCCTATATATTGCACACGGGACACTTTCTGTGGGGACTCTGAGATGCAGAGGGACCAGATAACAAGCAGGAAAGGCAGGGCCTGGTGCGAGGGCACGAGGCTCACCGACATCCCTGACGACAAGCCTGTAGGTCCCTCGGGCTCTCTCCCCCCAGCATCGCACAGTGGAGAAGGTCCAGTCGTTGAAGCCGTTGGGATCCCTGAGGAAAGAACACAGCAGAAACAGGTGGAAGGCGTGGGCCAGAGAGCTGACCTTCCCCCAGCAACACTTTCTCCCTGTAGTAGCCAGGGAAACTTGGGAGGGTGCCCCGAGGGGTTCTCAGGTGCCCCTTGCCCCTGGGGTCTCATGGAAGGAGGAACTTGTGTTAACGTGGTGTGGTGGAAAAAGCAAGCATGGAGTATGCACAGGCTTGGAATCCCATGGATCTAGGTTTATTCTTATTCTCTTGGGCACTTACTAGCTCCATGACTTGTTTCCTCTTTTTTTTTTCTTTTTTTTTTAGAGACAGGGTCTCACTCTGTTACAAGCTGGAGTGTAGTGGCATGATCACAGCTCACTGCAGCCTTGACTTCCTGGGCTCAAGTGATCCTCCCACCGCAGTCTCCTGAGCAGCTGGGACTATAGGCATATACCACCATGCTCGGCTAATCTTTAAATTCTTTGTAGAGATGGTCTCACTTTGTTGCCCAAGCTGGTCTTGAACTCCTGGCTTCAAGTGATTCTCCTGCCTTGACCTCCCTAAGTGCTGGGATTACCGGTGTGAGGCACCACGCCCGGCCAGTTTCCTCATTTGTAAAAAGAGGTTACAAAGTCTAATCTACGGGATTCTTAGAAGGATTAGAGAACGTGTATGTGAGGTGCAGGGCCTAGCACTTGAAGAAGGCATGTGATGAAAGGCTTCCAGCCGCCAGGGATAGCCAGTGCCACAGTAGTTTAGGACAGTGCCAGGATCCACTTCTCCCTTTTTTTTTTTTTTTTTTTGAGACGGAGTCTGGCTCTGTCACCCAGGCTGGAGTGCAGTGGCGCGATCTCGGCTCACTGCAAGCTCCGCCTCCCGGGTTTACGCCATTCTCCTGCCTCAGCCTCCCGAGTAGCTGGGACTACAGGCGCCCGCCACCTCGCCCGGCTAGTTTTTTGTATTTTTTAGTAGAGACGGGGTTTCACCGTGTTAGCCAGGATGGTCTCGATCTCCTGACCTCGTGATCCGCCCGTCTCGGCCTCCCAAAGTGCTGGGATTACAGGCTTGAGCCACCGCGCCCGGCCCCATTTCTTTTCCTTGGAAAGGCCCTTGCTGAAAAGGTTGCTCAGGCCTTGGGCGGGTGTACGTACGAGTCCATGCTGCGGGGGGCGCCGATGAGGGACATCATGCCGCTGGGGCAGAACAACTTCAGTTCCAAGCTGCCGCGCCGGGGGTGAGTAATGGAGACTGTCACTGCCACATGCTCCAAGGTCTTCAGCCCGGACATCTCCAGGTCCATCCTGCTGACTGTGGAAAGTCAGGCTGGGCAGCTGGGAAACCAGCCCACAACCACGCCTTCACTTCACCCCCACGTACACAAAGACACACGCTCACTGAAGCCACATACAAATGTCTACGGCAACCCTTACTGGGACCTCGCCTATACTAGTAAATAGAATGGAGTTGCTGCTCTCAAATTTACAACATAGCTTCGAGTCTAGTTGGGAAGACAGCACATACCCAAGACACAATATAAGAATCCAGTAGAGCAACTTCAGTCATTCATTCATCCAAAAAATTATTTACTGGATACCTCCTACATTTCAGGCACTGTACTAGATGCTGGGAATATAAAGATTCTTATCTTTAGGCATGGTCCCTGTCTTCTACCTGCAAGTGGAAAATGATATGGTATGGGAAACATACATAGTTGATAAGGGAAGAGAAATAAGTCTGATGGTTTTAGGCACACAGCAGTGAGATACGCTGAAGGAAATGAATACAGATTGGCAGAGAGGGTTGGTAGAGGGCATTGTAGGCAGTGGAAAAGGCATGAACAAAGATGGGTGAAAATGCACACATCTCACTGAAGACTATGCACAGTTAATTTTTAAAAAATGCTGGTGGATAAATTTCAATGAAATTATGTGAGTGAAAATAACCTCGAAAGAAGCATATAGCCGGGTGTGGTGGTGTGCACCTGTGGTCCCACTACCGGGGAGGGTGAGGTGGGAGGATCGCTTGAGCCTGGAAGGTGGAGGCTGCAGTGAGCCATGCTCATGCCACCACACTCCAGCCTGGGCAACAGAACAAGACTCTGTCTCAAAGAAAAAAAGAAAGAAAAATGACGTGTAGCACACAATTCCATTTACGTGATGTTAATTGAAGTAACATACCTGCAGAGATAGAGAACAGATAAATGGGTGCCAGGGGCCAAGGACAAGGGAGGGGATGGGTGTCGCCAGAAAGGGGTAACACAAAGGAGTCTTGTGATAATGGAATGGTTCCAGATCTTGTTTGTGGTGGTAGTTATGCAAGGCTACATGTGATAAAATTGCATACAGCTACACACGTGCATATATAAATATTGACAGCACGTATATCTGGTGAACTCTAAATAAATGCTGTGGATTGTACCAATGTCTATTTCTTGGTTTTGATATTATACTTTAATTGTGTGAAACATTAAGATTGGGAGAAGGGTGCATGGAACTTCCCTTGTACATTTCTTTGAAACCTCCTGTAAATCTACAATTATTAAAAAAAAAAACAAAAAAACCAAAAAAAACTACTGAAGTGGAAGACTCAACTGGAGACTATTAAGAAATTAGGCCGGGGGCCGGGCGCGGTGGCTCAAGCCTGTAATCCCAGCACTTTGGGAGTCCGAGACGGGCGGATCACGAGGTCAGGAGATCGAGACCATCCTGGCTAACACAGTGAAACCCCGTCTCTACTAAAAATACAAAAACTTAGCTGGGCGAGGTGGCGGGCGCCTGTAGTCCCAGCTACTCGGGAGGCTGAGGCAGGAGAATGGCGTGAACCCGGGAGGCGGAGCTTGCAGTGAGCTGAGATCCGGCCACTGCACTCCAGCCTGGGTGACAGAGCGAGACTCCGTCTCAAAAAAAAAAAAAAAAAAAAAAGAAATTAGGCCGTAATGAGAACGATTCTTTTTTTTTTTCTTTGTTTTGTTTTGAGACAGAGTCTCTCTCTGTCGCCAGGCTGGAGTGCAGTGGCATGATCTTGGCGGCTCACTGCAACCTGTCTTCTGGGTTCAAGCGATTCTCTTGCCTCAGCTTCCTAAGTAGCTGGGACTACAGGTGCTCACCACCACGGCCACCTAATTTTTGTATTTTTAGTAGAGATGCGGTTTCACCATGTTGGCCAGGATGGTCTCGATCTCTTGACCTCATGATCCACCTGCCTCGACCTCCCAAAGTGCTGGGATTACAGGCGTGAGTCACTACACCTGGCCGAGAACAATTCTTTTTAAGCACCCTTTCTTCCATTAATTTATTCCAGGCTAGGCCTGGTGGCTCACTCCTGTAATCCCAGCACTTTGGGGGCTGAGGCAGGAGGATCGCTTTAGCCTGGGAGACATCATCTTTACAAAAAATTTAAAAATTATCTGGCTATAGTGGTAAGCACCTGTGGTCCCAGCTACTCAGGAGGTTGAGTGTGAGAGGATGGTTTGAGCCTGGAAGGCTGAGGCTGCAATGAACCGTGATTGTGCCTCTACACTCTAGCCTGGGCAACAGAGTGAGATCCTGTCTCAAAAAAAAAAAAAATTACTCCAATATGCAAGGCAGAGTGCAATGCCTTCATTTTACAGACACAGTAGCTCAGAGGGGTACTGAAAGTAGGGACTGGATAACCTAGGGTGGGAAGGGCTTTAAAGATTTTTTTTTTTTTTTTTTTTGAGACGGAGTCTTGCTCTGTCTCCCAGGCTGGAGTGCAGTGGCCGGATCTCAGCTCACTGCAAGCTCCGCCTCCCGGGTTCACGCCATTCTCCTACCTCAGCCTCCGGAGGAGCTGGGACTACAGGCGCTCGCCACCTCACCCGGCTAAGTTTTTTGTATTTTTTAGTAGAGACGGGGTTTCACTGTGTCAGCCAGGATGGTCTCGATCTCCTGACCTCGTGATCCGCCCATCTCGGCCTCCCAAAGTGCTGGGATTACAGGCTTGAGCCACCGTGCCCGGCTAAGATTTTTGTTTTAAATAAACAACTAAGAGCTACTATAGATGACTGAGCAAGGACAGGGGTTTTTGTTTGTTTGTTTGTTTTTTGAGACGGAGTCTAGCTCTGTCACCCGGGCTGGAGTGCAGTGGCTAGATCCTTGGCTCACTGCAACCTCTGCCTCCTGGGTTCAAGTGAGTCTCCTGCCTCAGCCTCCCAAGTAGCTGGGATTACAGGCGCATGACACCATGCCCAGTTAATTTTTTGTAGTTTTCGTAGAGATGGGGTTTCACTGTGTTGGCCAGGCTGGTCTCGAACTCCTGACCTCAGGTGATCCACCTGCCTTGGCCTCCCAAAGTGCTGGGGTTGCAGGCACGAGCCACCATGCCCAGCCTCATTTTCTATAATTCCATCTGTCACCTCTTCAAAGCCAACGTCCCGTTTCTTTGAAAACAACCTCTCCCTTCCACTTTCCCCACTCTCTTCTTGACCCCCTCATTTTCCCACAACCCCTCAAGTTCCTTTCTCCTAACTGGCTGAGATTCCACGGCTCATCCAACATGTGTGTTTACATTCTCAAGCTCCCTTCGCTTTCTGTCCTTTCACAGCAATGTTTGACAAAAGTCAAACACTGGCTCAGCCTGATTATCCATCTTCTTGGCTGGACCTTTTTACTAGCACCTTTCCTACTACAAATGAAAAACAAACCCTTTCTCAACTCTTCACTTTCTTCCACCTACCACTGTTAAGAGCATGGGCTCTGGAGCCACCGGGCTTGGGTTCTAATCCCAGCTCTGCCACTTACTAGCTGGGAGAACTGTTTCCTCATCTGTAAAATGGGGCCAGTAACAGTACCTACTTCATAGGGTTGAGACAAGGATTAAACAGTTAATATACCTAACGCGTTCAGAATGGTACCTAGCTAATGTTAAGGCTACATATGCGTTAGACATTATTTATTTTCCTTTATTGTCAAAATTCTTGAGAAAACTGTTTAGATTCACTATGGCTACTTCTTACCTTCCCAATTGTCCCTGACATTTTTTTTCTATCAAAATAGTATGCAAGAATTTAAATGTACGTTGGCGCTAGCGTGCTTATAATGAAAAAACCAATTCCCTACCACCTGGGAGCTACTCCCCAGAAGCAAACTTTTTAAAATGGTTTTTAATTGTTTTCTTCTGGGATCTACTTTCGTGTTTCTAAACAGTAAGTGTTATGGATATTTCATGGCTTATCAATTTGAGACATTATGTATTGACTTTCAATTATGGCAGATGAGAATTTAACAAATCATGCCCACACCTTTTCCCCAATTGTCTTCACAAAATAATGACATCACAGTTTTTTTTTTTTTTTTTTTTTTTTAGACAGAGTCTTGCTTTGTCGCCAGACTGGAGTGCAGTGGTATGATCTCAGCTCACGGCAACCTCTGCCTCCCAGGCTCAAGCCATACCCCCACCTCAGCCTCCCTAGTAGCTGGGAACTATAAGTGTGCACCACCATGCCCAGCTAATTTCTGTATTTTTTTGCAGAGACAAGGTTTTGCCATGTTGGCGAGGCTGGTCTCGAACTCATGAGCTCAAGCGATCTGCCTGCCTCAGCCTCCCAAAGTGCTGGGATTAGAGGCATAAGCCACCGTGCCCGGCCACCAGTTTCTTTGAGAAGCCTTCCCTTTCTTCCCTAGCAGCAGGAGACATCTCTGCTGTGCTCTCAAAGCACCTGTGTTGTCCCTGTTGCAGTTCCTACAACACTGCACTATGCCTGGAAACCTGGCTGTCTTCCCTACCAGGTTGGGAGCGTGTTGAAGGCAGGAACAGTGTCTTATCCCTAAGTCTCTAGAACTTAATACAGTGCCTGGGATGAAGTAGGCCTCGAGTATTAGTAGAATGAATAAGTCGATTGAGAGAGATTTCACAGAAAAAACCAAAAAGATTTAATTGCAAGGGAAAGGGTTGGGGAAGACCTGGGGAGAGGTGAGAGATATAAAGGGATGAAAAACTCTTGAGTTTCAAGTTTGGGGGCCTAGGGAATGGTGATGGCACTGACATAAATGGGAAAATCTTAGAAAGCAAGCCCAGCTTTTTTTTTTTTTTTTTTTTGAGGCGGAGTTTCGCTCTGTCTCCCAGGCTGGAGTGCAGTGGCCGGATCTCAGCTCACTGCAAGCTCCACCTCCCGGGTTCACGCCATTCTCCTGCCTCAGCCTCCCGAGTAGCTGGGACTACAGGCGCCCGCCACCTCGCCCGGCTAGTTTTTTTTGTATTTTTTAGTAGAGACGGGGTTTCACCATGTTAGCCAGGATGGTCTCGATCTCCTGATCTCGTGATCCGCCCGTCTCGGCCTCCCAAAGTGCTGGGATTACAGGCTTGAGCCACCGCGCCCGGCCGCAAGCCCAGCTTTTGAGAGGTGATAGTGAGATCTAAAATTTTGTACATGGTAAGTGTAATGCATTGATGCAACATCAACAGCACACAGTGATTTAGGAACAGAAAGATGATGGAAAATATTCATGGTATAGTTAGAGGAGAGCAGTGATGTGGCAGAGAAGGGGCTTACAGGAGAGAAATGACATGTTATGGAACAGAATAGAATCCCAAAAGGAAAAGAATCCCAAAAGGAGTGCTTGTCTGTGTTCGCAGTGTACATAGTGACATGCTACATCCATTTACTTCTTAGTGTGGATGGGGACTTGGGTGGCAGTGCAAATGAGTACACTAGTACTCTCTCTACCAGAATTAAATGAGTCAATGCATTAAATGAGCTAATGCCGAGAACACTGCTTGGCACATAAAAAGCATCTTATTATTTGGCCTTTGGTAAATTGGAATGTTTTTCTTTTTTTTTTTTTTTTTTTTTGAGATGGAGTCTTGCTCTGTCACCCAGGCTGGAGTGCAGTGACATGATCTCAGCTCACTGCAAGCTCCGCCTCCCGGGTTCACGCCATTCTCCTGCCTCAGCCTCTGGAAGTAGCTGGGACTAGAGGTGCCCATCACCACGCCCGGCTAATTTTTTGTATTTTTAGTAGAGACGGGGTTTCACTGTGTTAGTCAGGATGGTCTCGATTTCCTGACCTCGTGATCTGCCCACCTCAGCCTCCCAAAGTGCTGCAATTACATGCGTGAGCCACTGTGCCTGGACTATTTGCCCATAATCTTATGGAAGCTATGCTCTAGTTTCTTATCCTTTCCACTGGTGAAGGATCAGAATAAGACATTTAGGTTGAGGACTCATTTGTGGAGAAGTGGTAGCTAAGGTCATAAACACAGCTGCACTGTCGAGGAGGAGGATGTAGAGTGAGGAAAGGGTCAGGAAACAAGCCTTAGAAGACGCTCACAGTTCAGGAGTACAAAACAAGTACCTCAGGCAGAGACGGCAGAGGAGAGCTATGCAGCCAAGAAGGCCACAGAAGCTACAGGAGGAGAGAGGTTGCAACAAAGGCCTCACTGATAGGGTCAGAGTGACAAGAATATTAAAAAGGATGAACCCTGAACCAACCCCTAAACCAGTGAGGAAAGGGGCACTCTGGGTAAGAAAGCAAGTCTTCAGTGGCAGAGGGAGTGTGTGAGAAAGGAGAGAAATTGCTTCAGTTCATGCATTTGAAAAGTTTCCTGGTTGGAGGCGGCAGGGACTTGCATTTGAAGGCAGAAGGGAAGAATCAGCCGAGAGGGAAATGTTGGTTAAAGAGGGAAGACCTGGAGAGGAGAAGAAACAGGACTCACTGCACAGGCAGAGGCTTAGCCAGTATCCTCAAGACTGCAGCAACAACAAAAGGAGAGATGCAAGTGGGAGTTCAGGCACCTTCTCATCACAGACTGAGCCCCACTCTCCCTCCTACCCTCAGGTAGAGACTTCAGACCAGTGTCAGATCTGAAAAACCCAAGGGGCCCCAATCCCCTCTCCCTCATCACCTCCTGTCAGTGGGGAGAGATAAAGATCTGTCTGGCTTTTTAGCAGCACTTCTCAATATGGCAGCCCATAGCCACACATGACTATCTAAATTAAAATGAAGTATAATAAAACTAAAATTTAGCTCCTTAGTCATATTAGCCTTATTATTATTATTATTATTATTTGAGATGGAGTCTTACTCTGTCATCCAGGCTGGAATGCAATGGCACAATCTCAGCTCACTGCAACCTCTGCCTCCCAGGTTCAAGCGATTCCCCTGCCTCAGCCTCTTGAATAGCTGGGACTACAGGCATGTGCCACCATGCCTGGCTAATTGTTTGGGTTTTTTTTTGAGACAGAGTCTCGCTCTGTTGCCCAGGCTGGAGTGCAGTGGCACGATCTCGGCTCACTGCGAGCTCCGCCTCCCGGGTTCACACCATTCTCCTGACTCAGCCTCCCAAGTAGCTGGGACTGCAGACGCCCATCACCACACCGGGCTAATTTTTTGCATTTTTAGTAGAGATGGGATTTCATTGTGTTAGCCAGGATGGTCTCGATCTCCTGACCTCGTGAACCACCCGCCTCAGCTTCCCAGAGTGTTGGGATTACAGGCGTGAGCCACCGGGCCCAGCCAATTTTTGTATTTTTTTTTTTTTTTTAATAGAGTTGGGGTTTCACCAGGTTGGCCAGGCCGGTCTTGAACTCCTGACCTCAAGTGATCCGTGCCCCTCTTGGCCTCCCAAAGTGCTGGGAGTATAGGCTGGGTATGAGCTACCACACCTAGCCTATTATTATTTTTGAGACAAGGTCTTGCTCTGTCACCCAGTATGGAGGGTGCAGTAGTGCAACCATGGCTTACTGCAGCCTTGACATCCTGGGCTCAAGCAATCCTTCCGCCTCAGCCTCCCAGGAGGCATGCACCACCACACCCGGCTAATTTTATTTTTTTGTAGAGATAAGGTCTCACTGTGTTGTTCAGCCTGGTCTTGAACTCATGAGAGTAAACAATGCTCCTGCCTTGTCTTCCCAAAGGGATTACAGGTGTGAGCCACCATGCCTGGCCAACCGGTCATGTTTTAAATGTTCAATAGACTCAGATGGCTAGTGACCACTGAACTGAGCAGCATGGACATAGAACAATTCCATCATTGCAGAAAACTCTTTGGGACAATGCTACTCTAGAGTCTTAAAGGTATTTCACCTCCTCTTCTATCTCAGGGATGTTCAGCTCCCTCTGCTTTATAAAAAGTTCACTCTCCAGCCCCCAGACACTGAATCAACCAGGTCCTGGCGGAAAACAACCATAACTTGGCTGCCAAAGGGGTTAACTGACTGCCTGGGACTGAGCTGCTCAACTCTCTTTTTTTTTTTTTTTTTGAGAAGGAGTCTCACTCTGTCACCCAGGCTGGAGTACAGTGGCGCAATCTCGCTATCTCAGCTCACTGCAACCTCCGCCTCCCGGGTTCAAGTGATTCTCCTGCCTCAGCCTCCCAAGTAGCTGGGATTACAGGCACCTGCCACCACACCCAGCTAATTTTGTATTTTTAGTGGAGATGGGGTTTCACCATGTTGGTCAGGCTGGTCTCAAACTCCTGACCTCAGGTGATCCGCCCACCTCAGCCTCCCAAAGTTCCCAAAGTGCTAGGATTACAGGCATGAGTCCGGGTACCTGGCTTAACTCTCATTTTAACTGGACTTATTTCCTTCAACCTCCAAGCAAGCCCACAAACTTATTCGTTCTGTTTTGTCTGCTCAGAGGAAAATGTGGTCGTGTTGGAGGAGAAGACAACTTCACTGGCTCTGAAAAGCCAATGAAAATAGTACTTTGCAAAAAGTTGTGAATAACTCTGCATGTCAAAATTACTCAAGGCAAAAAAAACAAAACAAAACAAAACAAAACTCCCCCAGGGAGCTGGGGGGAGGGAAAACTCTAGTAAAACTTTTGCTTGCTGCCCTTCCAATAGGTAAAGGGCTCCATTAGCCAAACTCCCTAAATTTTCCCCTCCCTTCTCTTAATCCTGCTTTCTCTACTAGGCCACCTCCCACTCTTCTCCACCCAGGCAATCTGCCCTTCTTTCTCTTACTTTTTAGTGACAAGCAAGCAGTTGCCAGATGCCTCAATGCCTAGGGTAGACATTCCGTGGCAACGTCCCCTGGTCAGCTGGAAGCAGAGGATGACGAAGCTGGGGAGAACATATTACTCTTTGAAGTCACTGCCCTCATTTGACAGATGCGACGGGAAATAGCCGTGGATGGAAGGTGCAGTTGAAGGCACACTATCTCTAAGACACGCAAGCGCAAAGCCAGGGGGTTCCAAACGAACTGCATTCCTGGAAATGTGTCTGAACTTCTCCGACTTGGCTGATGCCTTACGCCCTTTCCAAGATAACATTCCTTTTACGGGAAATGAAGTGACTGGCCTGGGGTTTCATTCCACGTGGAGGGAAATTGGGCAAGTGCTGGACGTGGTTAGGAGAGAGGAAACTCAATTCTTCTCAGTGAAACCTCCACCCGAGGGAAGCTACCCCTCAGCCTCCCTTCTGAGTAACCTTCTCTGGCCATCCCTTCTCCTGCCATGGCTCTCGATTGATCACTAGGAGGACAGAAAAAGTGAAGACAGTTCTGGTTTGGGCACCAGGCATAGCATGCTTCCTCTGCAAAAAGTAGCGAATGACTCACGGAAAAAGAATCCCCCAAGGAGCTGGGGGCAGGGAAAACGCTGGCAAATGTGCAGACAGGGCATCCTCTAGCACAAGCATCCTGATCCAGCCACACTCTCCTCTAGCGAGGGCGTCCACCTCTTCGCTCAACATAAAACCAGGTCGCTGGCTTAGAGGATACACCCTCTTCAGACAGTCCTGGTTCACCCTGGGCACCACGGAGGCGGAGGCAGAGGATGGGTCACTAAAGCCTAGGAGACTTCTACAGACCCTCTGTCCATCCCCAGCAGACCGCATCTGACTCTATTAGGTAAGCCTAAGAATCAAAGGAAGAAATGCCAAACTCCTTTACTTCATCCGGACACCAAAGGACTGACCAGAGTTCTCTGGCAAGATCTTAGCATGGAAGTCACAGGAGCTTCTCTGAGCTCTCGCCCCGGTCTCACCTCACTTCCCCAAGCCCTAGTCCCATGCCTCCCACCCGCCTTCCTCCTCAGTTGCTCTGCTGCTCCTTTTCACTACTAGGAACCCAGGAGAAAGGTCTTGTTTAAGCAGCCGGGGCAGCCAACTCAGAAGCAGTAACATGTCCTAAAATGGTCAAAGAAAACTCCACAGGTTTGGCTGGAGCTCAGCTCCGAAAGGGGGTAGAATCTGGCAGGGAGGACGAGTTTAACTTCCTTGTCACCCAGCCCCAAACCTCAGGCCTAAGATTAACCCACTTTGTGCTGATTACTTACCATTCCACAGAACCTCCAGGGAACGGGGGGACTGCGGAATCGCCTTGTTTTCTTTTAACATGGGACTGACGTAGGATGCTAAGTAAGGGACAGATGTCCAGATCTATGAAAGGAAAGGAGGGGATGGCAAATCAACAAACAAGAATGATCACACCCACATTCTCACAAACACACACGCCCTTGTCAATACGATCTTGAAGGTTTAGCTGTCTTTATTTTTCCACTCATCACCTTCCTTCAGCCCTCGGCTCCTTCTTGCTTGCTGGAATGCTATGTACAGCCCCTAGTTAAGGAACCAGAGGAAATGGCTGTGTCCAGGGTGGAGGAGGGGAACCAGAGCATCCTGAGTCCCATGCATACTCAGGTCCCATTTACTCTATTAGTAGTTTGGAAACTTCAGTGATAGCACTGAGCCTGCTTTCTCATTTGTAAAATGGATATCAGCTGGGATGAGGGTTGAAGTGGTTAAATCAATGAACTGAACGAATATTTACTAGGCACCTATGATATCCCAGGCAACGTTTGGGGCATTCAGCCCCGACCCTTGGTCCCTCCACACAGGGCACCCTGCCCTGCCAACACCTGTTCACCTTGGCTGCATTCACGAGCCTCCAAGCATTGAGCAGGCCGAAACCGTGCTGGTGGCTATGGCTGAAGCCTGCCTCGTTGGTGACCCACTCCGCACGGCGATCCTCGTACTGAAAGGACAGAGGTCCTGGTTAGTCTCTTGCATTGCCAGTGTAGTCTCAACAATCTAACTCTGGTTCCCCTGCTTGCTCTGCCGGCTGATCCCGTCCATGCTCTCCCACTGTGGCTACTGGGAATGGATTCCCCAAGGGAAGCTGGGACAAAAGGTCAAAGCCCATGATGTCACCACCCCAGTGGCTTGCTTCCAGAGAGGGGCCAGGAGGCACAGCCAGAGCTCTCCTTTGCAGATAAAATGAGTTTAGGCCTGTGGTCTTTGTGGGGCCCCCACACCTGTTCTTTACATATGCCACTCTGAAAGGGACTCTGAAAGAGACTTAGTATCTAACACTTGGGACATTGAGAATCTAAAGCCACTGGACAGCCAAACTCTGGAGCAGCCTGGACCAGGCCACTTGTCTACCTGCTGGTATCTCACCCGGGTGGCGGTGAAGACAATGATGTGCTGGACGTCACGCCACGTGAGGCAGGGCCGCACCTGCAGCATTAAGGCTATCATGCCAGCTGCCAGAGGCGCTGCAGCTGAGGTCCCCGTGTGGCCCTCAGTGCAGCCAGTGCCCTTCTGAAGGTCCCAGTCAGTGGTCACCTGGAAGTAGAATGGGAAAAGGAAGCGGGTTAGAGACTGAGTTTAAGCTGGGGACAGTGGTGTGCACCTAGAGTGCCAGCTACTTGGGAGGCCCAGGCAGGAGGATTGCTTGAGCACTGGAGTTCAAGGTTATAGTGAGCTCTGACTGTGCCACTGCACTCCAGCCTAGGTGACTGAGTGAGAACCCATCTCTAAAAAATAAAAAAATAATAATTTTTTAAAAAGAAGCTAGAGACTGTGTTCAAAGTTGTTATGGGGGGAAGGTACAGGGCTGGTCCTCAGAACAGGTCTCTCAGGTGGACCCTTCCCTCGCTATAGCTGAATCTTTGACTAGAGAGGGACCCAGTAGTAGGGCAGGTCCTGGCCTCCCAGCAGAATGTCTGGAGAACAGAGACAAAGATAATAAAAGTTACTTTTGAGGGTGTGGTTGTTGGGAAAAGGAGGTAGAGATAGGAAAGGGCTCCCATCCAGTGCAGATAAGGGTTTCCCAACTCTTTTCTTTTTTTTTTTTTCCCTTGAGACAGGGTCTCCCTTTGTCACCCAGGCTGGAGTACAGAGGTAAGATCATAGCTCACTGCAGCCTTGAACTCCTGGCTTCCAGCGAGCCTCCTGCTTCAGCTTCGCAGGTAGCTGGGACTACAGGCGTGTACCACTGCACCCCACTAATATTTTTATTTTCTGTAGAAACAGCATCTCGCTATGTTGCCCAGGCTGGTCTCGAACTCTTGGCCTCAAGCAATCTTCCTGCCTTGGCCTCCCAAAGTGTTGGGATTATAGGCATGAGCCACTATGCGGGGGGGCCTCCCGATTTTTGCTCCTAATATTCTTGCTCCCATTCCTAAATTCTCTATCCCATCTCCCAACTCCAAACCCTTCAACCCCAACAACCAAGCTAGACAGAGGAAGTGGCCAGGGGAGCTACTGGGCCCAGCTGGAGCTGGGACAACACTGATGGCACTATTCGAGGAAATCCAGTTTGGCATCTCCATGACAGGGGCTGGAATGATGTCGGCATGAACACGGGGAGTATGTTCCAGCAAGAAGACTGTGTCCTTGCCCACCCCAGAGCCCTGCATGGACTCAGTGTCTATAAGGCCCACCTGCCCGGCTCTACAGCTCTCAATAGGACAAGCTGCCTCACTGCTCTGGGCCAGATGCCATGAAACCCCTTCTCTCCATGTGGTTCTGAGGTGGGGAGTGAGAATGGGGCAAGGGGAGGCAGTGTCTGCCTGGCATCAAGCTCTTTTTGGGCTGTCATCAACCTTGGAGCCTCAGAGGGTTTAGCTGAGGCGGGCCCTGCCTAAATCTGCTCCACTCCATGGCACTTGGATCTTTGGCCCATGGTGTCAGTGCTAACACCAGAGAATTTCTTTCTTCTAAACTTCTCTTCTGGGTCAGATACTAGGATGGCGACTTCTGCCAAGAGCTGCCCTTTCTCCACTGTACTCACTGCTTCCCTCCCAGCTGTTAGAGCGGCTGCCAAGAGATGTAATTTTCACCCAGCCATGGCGCACTCCCAGAAAAAAAGGGAAAAGCACTCTCCAAGTGGTAGTCTCAATGAGAGTGGGAGCCTGGTTTATGCAAGGGAGCGGGTTGATTTTTTTCCCTGTTAAGGAAACAGCCTTGCAGTGAGAGTCTGAAGTGCGGCTGTGAAGCCCACGAACTTGCCTGTGGTGGCAGGAGCCACAGGCAGGCATTGAAAAGTCCAGAGAAGCTTTGCTTCCCTAGGGAGCCAAATGGTGGGAAGCATATGCCCCCAGCCTCTGCCCTCAGAAAGACAGCTCCACCCAGCTGCCCTGGTCATTGACTAGAAACTGGCAACAAGGAGTTTCCATGGCAAGGACATTCCAAAGATGGGAACTCTGCTAAACACACTGTCTTTTCATTTCTGGGCAAATTACAGTTCAGATGGAAGAGGGTGGTGAGGGTGAGAAGCTGAGGTGAGTTAAGATGAGAAAGGCCAGGTACAGCAGAACAAGAGTGACATTATGTTGTAGAACCTTCTCAGGTCCCTGGCCTGAGCAGGGTGAGCTAGCTTCCCTAGAGTTCTGCTAGAGGGTGGAGCGTGGTATGTTCCTGTTCTTCCTCCTAACCCAGCCTGGCCTGCCGTGGGTGCCCTCTGTGCACACAGCCCAACCTCTCTTCCCTCTCTAGTCCACTCCCTTTTCTCTTCTCCCTGGGGCTAGTGGGAGGCGGTAGTAGGGGTCAACTGGCACAGAGCCTTGGAACATTGTGTTGACCAGAAGTCATTTATTGGCATAACAAAATTTTAGTTTTGGAAAATAAATTGGACCCAGCAGGAAGACAAAGCAGCCTAGTTCCCAATGGCCCCAGAGAGACCTCCCCACTCAGCCACTGGAGAAATCTGACACCACCCGGCTCCAGCCCAGCTCCTGCCTAGAGCCTCCTACGCCCACATTACATGGTTGTGGGCAGCAGGGACAGGCAGGGAGCTCTAGGATAATGGTCTAGAGGCCTGGCTTAAACCTGCTGGGATGACACTAAGCCCAGTTGGGTGTAGGTGATCATCTTCAAATTCTTTAAATGGGTTCCACAGGTTAGAGAACCTCCACGACCCTGCTCCAATCTCATTCGCTATGGCTCCAATTTTAGCTCCAGAGAAAGAGCTCTCTCTGGTGTTGACATGGGACACTCCCCAACTCTTCTTCCCACCCATCCCCTAAAAACCACCACCAGACTAGCACTACTCCTGAAGACGCACATGACCAGAACTCAGGATTCACCTAAGGGCTGAAGGGCAATGGAATGATGAGTTTTTTTTAAGTCCACAGAAATTAGCAAAAGCTCAAATTTTACCAAAGGAAGACATTGCAAAGAAGTTGTTTGTGCATTTCCTTGAGTGTGAAAAAGGTATTTAATCCATGTGACACTTAGTTTCTTTTTTTCTTTTGAGAAGGAGTCTTGTTCTGTCAGCCAGGCTGGAGTACAGTGGTGCGATCTCGGCTCACTGTAACCGCCTCCTTGTTTCAAGTGGTTCTCCTGCCTCAGCCTCCCGAGTAGCTGGGATCACAGGCACACACCACCACACCTGGCTAATTTTTGTATTTTTAGTAGAGACAGGGTTTCGCCATGTTGGCCAGCTGGTCTTGAACTCCTGACCTCAAGTGATCCACCCGCCTCAGCCTCCCAAAGTGCTGGGATTACAGGAGTGAGCCACCGTGTTTGGCCCCATGTGACACTTAGTTTCACATGGGGGAACAGTGTGTATATTTGTCCTAAATCCAAATTTCTAAGATAAAAGCATTCCCAAGAAGTATTCAGAGTCCCCGGGTCTGCTCCTCCAAGGGTGGCATGCCTTAAGAGATCCAGCTCTGTGGGGGAAGAGGAGCCTGAGTGTTGGGGCCGGGAAGCAGGGAACAGTAAGAATCGCTGTGATGCCCGAGACGTGAAGTCTTGTGGGAAAGGGGCAGGCCATGGAGGGCCCGGGAGGCACTCACAATGCTCCGAAGCATCTTGTCCCCACCACTGAAGGTGACTGCCAGCATGGAGGCACATTCTTCTGCATAGAAAGGCATGTGTCCCTCCTCATCCACAGCTCCTGGGGACAGAGGAGGGAAATGAGAGCTGAGATGAAGAGGGGATCCTGTGGCAGGGGCTTGCTAATGTCAGTTATCTTGGAGTTATCATCCTGGAGGGCTGTCCTGAGTTTGAAACATGATCTGAGCGGCCCACATCCCTCAGAGTGGTCCTGATCCTCTTCTAAACAGGCAGTCTCAAGTGGCAGAGGGCATTCTGTGCCGCAATACCATTCTTTCAACAGGCTCTGGGGTACAACTGGAAGCCTTCTACCTTTATACCCACTTATTCATTCACATGCTCACTGTTTTCAACATTCATTACCCATCTACTGTGGGTCACACCCTGTGCCAGGCATCAGGGCCATATGGAAAAGGCCGCAGTCCTGGTCTCAAGGAGCCTAGAGTCAGGTAGAAGTCAGGTAAGGAAATAAACGCAGTTGGGGTGGCAAATGCTAACTGGGAGCACAGGCAAAGGGCACTTAATTTAGGCCCGTGGGCAGTCAGGGGAGGCCTCCAGCAGGTGGAAGGTGGCCCACAGAAAGACAGGCCACAGCAGAGGCCTAACCAGCTGTGGTGGGGTGGAGGCAGCTTGGTGATCTCCAGATGATGGCTTGAAGGTGTTCCCAGAGTATGTTGACATCTAAGGAAGTCCCAAGGTCCTCTGCAAGCAAGGCTAGTCCTATCTGAGCCCAAAGAGATTATTGTGCTCACACAATAACCTAACCTAACCCTAACCCTCACCCTCACCCTAACCCTCACCCTCACCCTCGCCCTCACCCTCGCCCTAACCCTAACCCTTAGACACACACAGAAGCTGGGACAAGACGTGTGATGCCCTAAGCATCCGGTGACACACACACAGGAGCACAGAAACACTGGGAGGCTACCTATGGTGACCGTGTAGATGGAGTTGGCGTAGCCATCGTAGTTGCAGTTGTCGTTGTGTTGGCCTCCGTTGCCACTGGCTACCACAAAGATACTCCCAAAGCCCTGGCGACCAGCAATCACTCCGTGTTGTAGGGCAGCCTGAGGAGCCAAAACATCAGGGTGTCAGTTGAGGAACCCACAGAAAGACCTCCACCTACTACATCAGTCACCCTCTCCATCCCTTCTAGAAACAAAAGGAAAAAAGTTCAAAGGGCACTGGGATGGGGAAAAGACTGGAAGATGGACCCTGGATGTGAGGAGGGAGCTAGGAGTTGGCCCAGGATGTGGGGCAGCTGTGAGTTGAATGATGACTGATGGACGCCCTCCACTTATCAGAGGACAGGGTGGGGCCGGGCATGGGAGCTGAGGACAAGATGAAAGGGAGACAATCTCAAAGTACTGTTCCCTTTCCCTCTCTAGGAACAAAAGTCCCCCAGGCTTCCTGCCCCGACGTTCGGTGTTCTCTTCCTGAAAGGAGACTGCGCATGGAGGTGGAGTGGGAAGATGGCTCAGCTTGCAGCAGGTCTTCTGGGACTGAATGAAGAGTGCATCCTGCCTCTCAGTCTCCGTGCAGGCCAGTTACCTTTCCAAGCTGATGGGGGCCATCCACTGTCTTCCCATCATCATCTGGTCCCCAGCTGTTGAGAAATAAATACCTAGAGGGGACAGCCAGAGCCAGGCTATGGCTACCCACCCAGCGCTTCCCAGTCTCAGCTGGCTACCCTTTGACCTGCGGCTCTTAACTCCTCCCAAGGGTTCCACTTAAAGGCTTCTGTGATTAAAAGGCACAGGGTTCAAAGGTCCATCCCCTCTCCAACGTAGAAAGCAGAAGTGTGCTAAGGCTCTTCTTTTCCTTGTGAATGTCCCCATAGCCCATAGTGGCAGAGGGGGACAGAGGTCACTCTTCTCCTGATCTAGGGATCAGAGACATGTAGATTTTTTTTTTTTTTTTTTTTTCCTGAGACGGAGTCTTGCTCTGTCGCCCAGGCTAAAGTGCAGTGGCACGATTTTGGCTCACTGCCACCTCCGCCTCCCAGGTTCAAGCGATTCTCCTGCCTCAGCCTCTGGAATAGCTGGGATTACACGTGCCTGCCACCACGCCTGGCTAATTTTTGTATTTTTAGTAGAGACGGGGTTTCACCATGTTGGTCAGGCTGGTCTTGAACTCCTGATCTCAAGCAATCCACCCGCCTCAGCCTCCCAAAGTGCTGGGATTACAGGCGTGAGCCACCGCGCCTGGCCCAACTCATGGGGTAGAAGGCAGAGCACCCATGAACTTCTGTGGAAGCTCCTGGTTATCAGGCTGAGGAGTTCTCTATTCTGTCTCTATCAGGAAGTGTACCCTGTGGATGATGTCATGGATTTAAGGGAGGTATGCTGGGGGAGGAAGAGGTGCCATCAATGCTATTGGGGCCCCCAACCCCATTTCCTTCTTGTCCATGCCCTGAAGGTGCAGTGCATTGATGTGGGGTGGGGGATTGGTGTTGGGCATTCAGCTGGCCTGTGGTTGGAGAGGAAAGCCCGCTTTCTTGCAGAGGCCTTAGGAGTTTAGAAAACAAATAAATGTGCACAGGCCAGGACTTCTCATGTGGCAACCTGATTACGGCGGTGGCAGGGGCTTAAGGTTGAGAGCCCAGTGGCTGGGAATCTAGAGAAATGAAGGCAATGGATGTATTAGCTGAACCCAATGAGGAGACCCCTGCTCTGGCTGAGTCAGCCCACTTGGTTGGGCTTTCATTGGCAGATTTGTCCCAGGTGCTCCAGACCCTTGCTCTGATGTGCAGCTCTGCCTCACCTGCAGCTGTAGATGTCATTGATCTGATAGTGCTTGTTGAACGCCACTGCCTCCATGCTGTCTGTGAGAGGTCCATCCAGTACCCGGATACCTAGGCAATGAAGGCCACAGCAGCTCCTCACTAATGCTGGTCTCCTAGCTGGGGAACTGGGAGGTGGGGAGCCATATGTGGGAGATTTATTTTTCCCTACATGCTGTTTGTACATTTTGCAATTTTTTTTTTTTTTTTTTCCTTGAGACAAAGTTTCACTCTGTCGCCCAGACTGGAGTGCAGTGGCATGATCTCGGCTCACTGCAGCCTCCACCACCCGGGTTCAAGCGATTCTCCTGCTTCAGCCTCCCAAGTAGCTGGGACTACAGGCGCATGCCACCATGCCCAGCTACGTTTTGTATTTTTAGTAGAGATGGGGTTTCACCATATTGGTCAGGCTGGTCTCGAACTCCTGACCTCAGGTGATCTGCCTGCCTTGGCCTCCCAAAGTGCCGGAATTACAGGTATGATCCCTGTGGCCACCGCGCCCAGCCCATTTTGCATTTTTACACCTTGTATATGTATTACTTGTCCCCCCACCAAAAATATATAGAGAGAGAAAGAGACAAAGTCTGGCTCTGTCACCCAGGCTGCAGTGCTGTGGCACTTTCAGAGAAGGGACTTGGACAGGGTTTCTGGCTCCCCCGTAGTCTCATTTATGGAGAGCTACTGCCCTCTGCTGGAGTATAAGAGGAATACAGTTAGTCAATTCAGTCTGTAGGTTCCCAAGCACTCCTAATAAGGAGTTATGGTGAGGGTTTCCCCATTCATTCCCTTCACCTTCGGCCTTAATGGACAGAGGTTGAGTGTGAAAGAACCACAGAACCACCTCCAGGGAGGAATAGGGCTGCTCAGCCCTCCCAAAAGGATAGAGAGCAGCCCATGACCATCAGTGTGACTGGAAGCTGGAGAGCTGGGAAACGCAAGGGCTGCCCCCATAGACGTATCGGATCATAGAGAAAGAACCAACAAGAAGGCACTTTGTAATTTATGGAACTACAAATAGAAAAACATGTTTGAAACACCACTGCACTGAAAAATAAATGAGCTGATATGTCCTACAGACACCTATGATAAACTCATCCTTGCTCTATGCTATGTGTGTCAGCTGGGCTATGGGATAGAGAAGTTTCAGAGTAGGAAGGGGTGCAGGAAATGAAGACTGTGGTCACAGGAGCAGCCTACCAAGGCTAGGCTGGAGGCACAAATTACCTGCGATGCGGCTCCCATAGGCCACGCCCACGGCACAGAAGCTGTTGTTGGGCACAGCTGCGATCTCTCCTGCACATCGCGTGCCATGGTGGTTGCCATTCTCCACGTCCGGGTGGGGCATGGGGTCAGGGTCATTAGAGTTGAGGTCATAGCTACCCTCAGGGCTCTGAAATATTTCGGAGGTGACATGTGGTCATTCACTGGTTAGAGGGGGGTCAGGTCCTGGGATTCAGGGAAAGAAAGGAAATGGGAGTTTGGGACTCGAAGCTAGGGCAATAAGCTCATTTCTTTGTTTTTGTTTTTGAGATAGAGTCTCACTCTGTTACCCAGACTGGAGTGCAGTGGCACAATCTCAGCTCACTGCAACCTCTGCCTCCCGGGTTCAAGCAATTCTTCCACCTCAGCCTCTCGAGTAGCTGGGACTACAGGTGAGCACCAACACGCTTGGCTAATTTTTGTATTTTTAGTAGAGATGGGGTTTCACCATCTTGGCCAGGCTGGTCTCAAACTCCTGACCTTGTGATCCGCCCACCTTGGCTTCCCAAAGTGCTGGGATTACAGGCGTGAGCCACCATGCCCGGACCCAATAAGCCCATTTCTATCTGCAAACCACACTGGCTAAAAGATATGAGCAAAGGACACTGGGGCAAAACTGAGAAGTGCCACAGCTCCCAGCAAACTTCTCTTGCCCATTATGCGAAGGTGCCTACAGCTCCATGGCTTGGGAAACCTGGAATAAAAGGCAGGTAGGGCTCCCTAGAGGCCACGCTTCAGAGAGAGGAAGGTACTCGGATTTCCAACAAGAGGGAAGTTGCCTGCAGGGGCCACTCCTCACTCCTCAGAAAAGGACTAGAACTGGAAGCAGGATTGCTCTCCCTTAGAGTTAGAGCCACCTGCTGTGCCTTGACTACCAGTCTGGAATGCTGGCTCGGGAAAAGGAGAGGATGAACCCCATCTCACCTCCCAGGCTCCTTTATTTGGCCCAAAGACCTCTAGAAAAAGGGCCAAGACTGAGGCAACACCAAGAAGGAGGTAAGACGTGGTGGGTGAGGGGCCACTCACATAGTTGGGTGCAATATCCTGGATGGTGTGTTCCACTCCATCATCCACTACCACCACTGTCACCCCTCGCCCAGTCACATTGCGCTCCCACACACCCGTCACGTTGATGTCCCTGCCCGGGCTCCGTCGGTTATTCTGTAAGACAGACAGGGTGGGAATCCAGTGACACACAGCCCAGCCCAGAGGGAGACGAAGTTATAGCTAGCAACCCCTTTTCACCCTTGGCCTCCACCAAAGAGCCAGACAGAGATTGCAGGCCAATAGGTCAGGTGGGAACAGAGCCAAGAAGGGGCAGGTGAGAGCTCTGCCACAGCCTTGGATTCCAGGAAAGTTTGCCATCAGTCATGGGGGATTCGGGGTGAAATGGAGGCTAGGGTGAAGGGTTGGATGACACGCTTCTTTTTTTTTGTTTTTTGAGATGGAGTCTCACTCTCTCGCCTAGGCTGGAGTGCCGAGGCGTGATCTCAGCTCACTGCAAGCTCCAACTCCCGGATTCACACCATTTGCCCACCTCAGCCTCCCGAGTAGCTGGGACTACAGGCGCCCGACACCACACCCGGCTAATTTTTTTGTATTTTTAGTAGAGACGGGGTTTCACCGTGTTAGCCAGGATGGTCTTGATCTCCTGACCTCGTGATCCACCCGCTTCGGCCTCCCAAAGTGCTGGGATTACAGGCGTGAGCCACCGCGCCCGGCCGGATGATATACTTCTTATGACAATGGTAGTATCGTATCACTTATGTCATAGCGTTTACTATGTGTCAGGCACTGTTCCAAGTGCTACACATGTATGCATTCACTTACCCTAACCATAACTCTATGAGGTGGGCACTACTACAGTCTCACTTTACAGATGGGGAAGCTGAGGCACAGAGGTTAAGCAGCTTGCCCAAATGCACATGCTAGTAAGTGGCGCAGCTGGACCTTGAGCCCAGGCAGCCTGGGGGCACCATCTGTGCCCTGAGTACTGCAAAACACCGGCTTCTAGAAGACAGTAGGAGGGAGGGAGAGCTGAGGGAGACACCACAGAACCGGGAAATGGTCCCTCAGGCGAAGGATGGAGGCGACTGAAGAGCGATATAGTCAAAAGCCCACTAAAGAACTGGACTGGAACCTACCCACCTGAAACCGCACACTGTAGGACTGGACTCACCAGGTGCCACTGCTGTGGGTACTTGGGGTCATTGAAGTGGACGCTGCGTTTGGCCCGCCTTAGCAGCCTCTGCTCTGAGTGCCAGCGCACAGCTTCATGCCCAGCCAACACAGCCTCCACCTGCTGCCGGATGGCCTCCACCTCCAGGGCCGGCCTGTGCCCAGCAGGCTGGACAAAGAGATAGTGCCCTTGAAGCTCTCCGATGCGTCCAGCATTCACCAGCCCTGCTGCCTGGGCCAAGGCATCCGCCTGCTGCTCCAGAGTCTCTTCCTCCCCGTCACCTTTCAGGCTTTCCAGGTGCACAGCCCAGCTCGGCCCCCCTGGGCCCTGGCCATCAGGCCCACCTGTCCCTGCCAGGCCCATGACCCAGGGAACCAGTAAGAAGAGCCCAGCTAATTCCAGCCAGAGGCAGATGGGCAGGCCCAGGGGGGCATCCAAGTGTGGCACTTTCTGCCTCCCCTTCGGCATCAGAGCAGCGGACTGCAGACAGAGAAAAAGGATGTGGAAGAGATTAAAGAGTTGGTAACTGCAGGAATCTGAGAGGGAGATGCTGAGCCATCCACGCGTTCCCCCTGGAAGTCCCCAAGCCATGCCTTTTAAATTATGAAACATCTGATCCTCTCTTTCTGTTCACATTTATCCCTGACCAGCAGGGATAAGCCCCCAGGTGGAGTGTGGACCAGCACTAACGCCAGCGGATGGCCTCCCACAGCAAGACAGCCAATCCTCACGACACCAGCTAATCCAGCAGGAGGTCCGGTTGCCCACAGGCACTGCACCCGTCCCCTGTTGCCACCCACGGGGCTCAAAGCACACATCGCTCCCACAAACTACTGGCTGCATTCGTGACTGTTCTTTAGGACAGACAACCTCCTCACCCCTACATTTAGAGGGGACATAAATCTTTCCCTAGCTGCCTCCTCAGTCCAGTTGTCCTCAAGGCTAATTCCCCATAACAGGGCCCCGTGCCCACCTGGACTCTACATGAGGTTGAGCTCCTGGTCTGGCTAACCACGCCACACTCATGTTGTGCAAATGGAGAAAAGGCATCACTTTCACTGTGAGTAGTGTTGACTCAGCAAAGGCTACAGACCTGTGGGGCCCAAGAACAGAAGAAACAGCGTCCCACCAATCCCAGTGCGACCAGCAAAGGTTAGATCAACTCCAGGACCAGGGACCAGAGAAACTTAGTTGTCATTTTCAAAGATCTAAAACTGGTCATAGACTGGCGCAGAACTGGTACGGTGAGGCCAAATCAGTATAACACCCAGAAACCCCACTTCCTGTGCTATCATGCCACCCTCTTTTCATTTTTTTCCCTAGAGGCCTAGCAAAAAACTGTTACCAAAATGCCTCCCGAAAGAGTAGGTAATAACGTCCTAGAAGTCCAGGTGGTAGTGAACTTCCTGATTTGTCTACCTCAGAAGGATATCAGGGAAAGTGAAAGGAGGGAGGAGGCCGGGGCGAAACAGGGGGAAGCCAGAGAGTGCAAACAAAACAGAACAGGCACCAAGGACAAGCAGGCAACCAGGAGAGAAGGAATGACGAGGGAACCTCACTAAGCAGCTACCCCTGTGCTGAGCTCAGGAGGCTGGCTTCAAGGAGAGGACTCAGGCTCCAGACTGGACCTCCAATTGCCTGGGTTTGACAGAACCAGGGAATTGGTCTTAGGAGCCCTCAAAGGAAAAAAGAGCCAAGTAAGAACTGGGGGACAGACAAATGGGGTGACAAGACGTGTGTGTACCTACGGTGGCTAGGCTTCTTCAAAAGCCTTTGTTCTCCACTGAGTCCACCCTGGGGCAGGGCTTAGTACTCAGACACACACCCAAGCAGCTCTACGTCAAAGCATTCCAGAAAAATGGGAATTTTACTGAAAGACTTCCTGGAAAGGGAAAGGAGAACTTATGCCACCTCTCCTTTCCCTCTAAAAATCTTCATACTATATTTCTTCCTCTCTTTTTCTCTTAGGTTTCCAGGTGTATTCCCTCTCAATCCCTCCCTGCCCCGGGAGCCTCAATTCTCCCAAGATATTTAGGTGTCTGCAAACTCTACTAAGTAAACAAACAAACAAACAAACAAAACCCTTGTTAGCCAGACAGTGGCCCCTCTAGGCAGGCTCCTTCAGACTCAGAGGATCCCACCACAGATGTCCGGAAGAAAGAGAAGCATGAGCTCCTTCTGTCTCCCAGTGGCAGAGCAGCATTTTTATCCCCCAGGCTTCCGGGAAAGGAACCTTAAATGCCCTCTGAAAGCAGGTCTCAACCTCTCCCAAGGGCTAGGCCTCTCTTTACAGCTCTTAGTTGACAAGGAAGAAGAGAATGGGCAGCCCAGAGTCCAAGATCCTGCTCCCAAGTGACTGTCCTCGCTGTTCTACACCCGGCTCCTAGAAGCCAGCTTGGGTACAGGATCAGTTTCCCGATTCCCCCTCCATCGGCCTCGATCGCTCCGTGCAATGTGCCCCCTCTCCTCATTAGCACCCACATTATCCTGGAATCCTGGACCCTGGGGCCCCATCTTCCTGGGGTCCCCCACGTCAGGACCTCAGGCACCCTCTGTGCAGCTCCCTCATCCTCAGACGCCGGTTCCCCCCACTTCTGGGCCCCCCTGACTTCCCAGGTCCAGCCCCACACCTAGTTCCCAACTCACCGGCCCGGCCGCAGCTGCCGCCGCCTCCCTGCGGAAACTCGCGGCTTCCCGGGAGCCGGAGGAGCAGTGACAGCAGCATCACTTCCGCCCGCGGCGCAGCCAATCAGCGCGGCGCCTGCGGCCCAGCGACCCCACGGGCCCCAGCAACCGGCGCCCGGGGTCCGGCTCCAGCGGGCGGCCTCCGCAGGCAGGGGCCGTGCGGGCGCTGGGGGCCGAACCCGCGGGCTCCGCCTCCCCGAGTCCTCGGGGCATCTTCCACATAGTCCCTCTTCAGAAGGTTCTCCTTCATGGCGTCCTCTGTAAAGGGCATTTCTGTTCCGACCTTTAAAATCCCCTAGTTGCTTTTCTCCCTCTGACCGCCATGGCCCCGACTGTCCCTGTAATCTTTCCAGAGGGGATCCTGCCCTGCCAGGTCGCCTTCCTTCTCGCAGTCGGCTCTCCCTTCTTCCCTGCGCCCCGGGAGTCCACCTGTATCTCAGGGGTCTCCTGCAGCATCCCCGTGCCCCGGCGGCGCCAGCTCTCGCCGCCAGAGGGCGCTGTCGGGGGCGGCGCGGCGCTACCGCGGCCTCTCCTCTCGCGGCCGGAGGCTCGCCCCCTCCGCTCGTGCCGCCGGAAGTGGGAGGTGCCGCGCGCGGGCCGGCGCTCGACCCCTCCCCCCGTGGCTCGGCCGCCCCCTCCCCCCGCTCCGCCCGCTCAGGTGCGTCCCGTCCCTCCCCCACTTTCTTCCCGGGGGCGCGGCGCGGGAGGTGTGTGAGGGGCGAGCGTGGGTGGGGGTTGCGGGGCGAGGGCCGGGGAGGGGGGCCGGGTGGGGGGCGTGGAGGGTGCTGTGAGAACCGAGGCGGGGGTCCCGGCCTAGAAGTGGGACGGGGGGGCTGGCAGTGGGGTGGGGGGGCCAAGGGAAAGGGGTGGAGGGGGGCTGGTCCGAGGCAGCGGCCAGCCTAGCAGCCCCCTGTGGAGGGTGGCCAAGGCCACCCAGCGCCGTTTCCCCCCATTGTCCTCTTCCCGTCTGTCCCCTGTTCTCGCCCGAGGACCCGTGGCTCCGGCGCCTCCGCTTCGCTGGTGGTCGCCCCGGGTTGCGGAGTTCTTTTTGGTACACTCGACCCTCCAGCCAGCTGTTCCGACCCGCGCCACGGGCTCTCTAGCCGCGGAGTTGCATGCATGACCCTTATCCTGGGGTTTCGTTCACCGGGCGCAGAGGACCCCCCAGCCCTGGGCTCCTTGGGGACGGGATGTTTGCACCTGAGGGAGCAGCAGTGGCGATTTGGGGCCCATTTTCTCCCAGGAGCTTTGTATAATGAGGGAAACAGAGGCACAGGGTCTGTGGGCTGTGACTGAGGTGTTGACACAGCCCCATCTGCCTGTCTACCCCGCGCGCTCTTCAGTGTTCCGGGGGCAATACCTGTGATGCTGTTAAAATAAAAGCAAGAATGCAAACTAACCCTACGTTCACCCCCACCTCCCAAGTATTTTGATTTTCTTTTCTCCTCATAAGGTCATAAGTTTGCTCTGCAGCATAGAAGATGACCTTTTGATTTTTAAAAAAGGCATCCGTCCCAGTTCCCTTACTTATGTTACCATGTTTTTCACCTTGTCATTTTCAAGCTAGAGAACCCAGGATTCTTTTTTGCACCACTAGTCACTCTGAAGAGTCTGTACTTTTCTCAGATAGTGGGTATCAGGCCTTTCCCATCTGTGGGGAGCACACTGACAGTAAAAGATGCACCCTGGATTGCCCAGTATTGCATTACTTGTTCGCTTACAGGCAAGTGCCTCCAAAAACTTCACTTAAATTAGTGGAGAATGCTTTGAATGTAACAGCCATAAAGTGATTTAAAAACATGAGATCTGATTGATACTAGTCCGAAAAGTACATCTTTTATTATAAATGATAGTAGACAAGGTAGGCTTGGGACCACTTGGAAGATCCTGGCAGACTAAGTTCTATTGTTTGAAATGACTACATTTCTGCCAAAAGTGAAAATAAGATCTTTGCACAGACTCCGAGATATTTATGTAAATACAGTGACTCTTGAGGATTGTTGCCCGCTAGGACTTTGTATACAATGTCTCTTTTAATACTCTTAAGTATTTTCTCCCGGAGCCCAGGTTTTTGTATTTCTTTACTGCAACAGCTCTGTTGTGTGGACATTCTGAGGGGGGAGAGATACATTTGTTTTAAACTTTGGAAACTTGTAGCCTGTAATTTGTTTCTGAATGTACAGAGCATAATGGCAGCGTCTGAGGTTGCTGGTGTTGTGGCCAATGCCCCCAGTCCTCCGGAATCTTCTAGTTTATGTGCTTCCAAATCAGACGAAGGTCTCCCAGATGGTCTAAGGTAATGTGTGGACTCCTGACTGGGAAGATTCATTTGGGTAAAGGGTTTCTGAGATGGTATTGTGTAGCTGGTCTTTCTTTTTGGCTCTGATGGCACTGCACTAGGTTTTTAAAGGTAGAGGACTGTCTGATCTATCTTTGTATTTCTGGTATCCAACACAGCATCTGATACTCAGCAGGCATGCTAAATGTTTGGAGAATAAATAGAATACATGGGTTCAAACTCATTAAAAAATGCAAATATTTTCCAGCCCTTTCCTATGTGGACTGTATGTTCGTTTAACCATATGTTTATATGTTATATATGAGAAATGTTACATTGGTATGTGTACATGGATTCTAAATACATATACCCACAGACACGCAATTACCCAAACTTGCATCTCATAGTAGCTAATGTAATACATTGTTATGTACAATGTTGAACTAAATTAACTATATAGTTATCCCACAGTATATGTTGGAGATTGGTTCCAGGACCCCTACTGAGGATACCAAAATCTATAGATGCTCAAGTCCCTTACATAAAATGGTGTAGTATTTATCTGGGACAGGCATATGCCCACCCCACTTAAAGCAATTAAAAAGATAATAAATGAATAAAATGGTGTAGTATTTGTGTATAACCTATGCATGTCCTCCCATATACTTTAATCTCTAGGTTATTTACACCAACTAATACAATGTAAATGTTATGTAAATAGTTGTGTTTTTAAGGAATAATGACAAGGAAAAAAATTTGTGCATGTTCAGTACAGATGCAACCATCCAATTTTTTTCTGAAATTTTTTTTAATGGTTTAAATCTATTTCACTTTTGTTTTTTTGAGACAGAGTCTCACTCTGTTGGCCCAGGCTGGAGTGCAAGTGGTGCAGTCTTGGCTCACTGTAAGCTCCGCCTCCCAGGTTCACGCCATTCTCCTGCCTCAGCCTCCCAAGTACCTGGGACTACAAGTGCCCGCCACCACACCCGGCTAATTTTTTGTTTTTTTAGTAGAGAGGGGATTTCACCGTGTTAGCCCGGATGGTCTCCATCTCCTGATCTCGTGATCCGCCTGCTTTGGCCTCCCAAAGTGCTGGGATTACAGGCGTGAGCCACCGCGCCGGCTTTTTTTTTTTTTTTTGAGATGGAGTCTTGCTGTGTCGCCCAGGCTGGAGTGCAATGGCGTGATCTCAGCTCACTGCACCCTCTGCCTCCTGGGTTCAAGTGATTCCCTTGCCTCAGCCTCCCAAGTAGCTGGGATTACAGGTGCCCGGCACCACGCCTGGCTAATTTTTGTATTTGAGATGGGGTTTCGCCACGTTGGCCAGGCTGGGTATTTTACTTTTAAGTGGTTTATTTTTATATTTTAATAAATGGACACAATAATTAATTGTACATATTCATGGGGGTACGTAGTGATGTTGTGGTACATGTAATGTATAGTGATCAGATCAGCGTAATTAGCATATCCATCATCACAAACATTTATCCTTTTGAATATTTTCAGTCCATGGTTGGTTGAATCCATGAATGTGGACCACAGTCTATATAAAGAGGCTGACTGTGTATTCTTCCTCAACTCTTTTTTTTTTGGAGACAGACTCTTGCTCTGTGCCCCAGGCCAGAGTGCAGTGGTATGATCTTGGCTCACTGCAACTTCTGCCTCCTGGGTTCAAGTGATTCTCCTGTCTCAGCCTCCCAAGTAGCTGGAATTATAGGCGCCTGCTTGGTAGCCCAGCTAATTTTTGTATTTTTAGCGAGATGGGGTTTCACCATGTTGACCAGGCTGGTTTTGAACTCCTGACCTCAAGTGATCTGCCCGCCTTGGCCTCCCAAAGTGCTGGCATTACAGGGGTGAGCCACTGCACCTAGCTCCCTCAACTTTTGTTTTGTTTTGTTTTTGAGACAGTGTCTTGCTCTGTCGCCAGGCTGGAGTGCCCTGGCGCAATTTCCGCTCACTGCAACCTCTGCCTCCCGAGTTCAAGCGATTCTCCTGCCTAAGCCTCCCTAGTAGCTGGGATTACAGGTGCCCACCACCATGCCCGGCTAATTTTTTGTATTGTAGTAGAGACAGGGTTTCACCATGTTGTCCAGGATAGTCTCAGTCTCCTGACCTTGTGATCGGCCTGCCTCAGCCTCTCGAAGTGTTGGGATTACAGGCGTGAGCCACTGCGCCTGGCCCTCCCTCAGCTATTTTCTAGAGTACCTGAGTCCTCTAATACAATAGCTAACACTTGACTACAGTTCTATATGTGTTAACACATTTAATCTTTAAAACAGTCTCGGGAGGTAGTGATAATATTATTATTCCCATTTACAGGTGAGGAAACTGAGACACAGAGAGGTTAGTAATTTGCCCAAGGTTTCCAAGCTATGTTGGAGTCAGAGTTTTGATAAAGTCAACTACATACACTAGTAATAATGGCAGCTAAGGTTTATTGAATGTTTACTATATGCCAGGCACTATACTGAATACTTCATGTGGATTATCTCATGGAATCCTCACAACAGTCCTATTAGGAGGATAGTATTATTTCTGTTTTACAAATAAAGTAACTTGCCAAGAGTCAAACAGCTTGTAAATGGTGGGCGGAGTCAGGATTCAAACTCAGGTACTATATATGCCTGAATTTTTAATTAAGCACCTCCTCACAGTTAACTCCCAGCAGGAAGGAATCAGCTTCAAGTGTTTACATTGAGACAGGGTCTCCCTCTATCACGTAGGCTGGAGTACAGTGGTGCGATCATGGCCTACTGCAGCCTCCACCTCCTGGGCTTAAGCAGTCCTCTCACTTCAGCCTCCCAAGTTGCTGGAGCTACAGGTGCATGCCACTACATTCAGCTACTTTTAACATTTTTTTGTAGAGACAAGGTCTTGCCATGTTTCCCAGGCTAGTCTTGAACTCCTGACCTCAAATAATGCTCCTGCCTTGACCTCCCAAAGTGTTGGGATTACAGGCATGAGCCATTGTTCCTCACCGAGGTATTCTTTCAGTTGTTTTATTTTGAACTAGTATGACTGAGGAAACAAAGATGCATCAACTTGAATCCTCTGTGCTGGTTGGGTATGGTTAAGAGTGTCAGTTATAGAATAAGTTTAAAAAAAGAGGGTGGGGTCAAATAAATTAAACATAAGCGTTAATTCCTGGGTGAAAGATGTACAGTTGTGAATGTTGGATGTCATTGTAAATATGTTTTAAGACCCCTTTAAAAAACAATCCCTCACTTCAGCCTGGGTGACAAAGTGAAACCCTGTCTCAAAAAATCAATCAATCAATAAATAATTAAAGCAGCACCTTGAATGGCTGTGACAAGTGACAGAATATCCTAATATTAAGCATATGTATACTTACTGTGTGGGATAAAATTTTATTGACAGCTTCAATTTTGGATTCAAAATTGTCTGTACTTTAGACAACTTAAAGTGTAGATGCTATACTCTGGAACTGTTGAAGAACCTAAAAAGTGGTTCTGGTCAAAGATCTCTATAATGAGTTTGAATGAAAATTATTCTTGTGGAAGGTGAGAGAGGAATCAAAACAATATTTCTAAGTTAATAGTTTATTATAATATGTATAACTAAATTAGTACATGTAACTAAAATATTCTAACTAGCATTAGGCTAATTCATCGGTATCCCCAAAATTTATTCCAGTTGGCCCTCAAAAATTATTTGGATCTTCAGAATCATTTATGTTTGGCCATTTACTGTAGACTGTCTTTAGAACCCAGGTTTTTGGCTGGCTGTGGTGGCTCACGCCTATAATTCCAACACTTTGAGAGGCTGATGCAGGCAGATGGATCCCTTGAGCACAGGAGTTTGAGACCAGCCTGGGCAACATGGCAAAACCATGCAAAAAATACAAAAAATTAGCTGGGCATGGTGGCATGTTACTGTAGTCCTAGTTACTCAGGAGGCTGAGGTGGAGGATCACTTGAGCCAAGGATGTTGAGACTACAGTGAGCCTTGATTGCACCACTGCATTCTAGCTTGGGTGACAAGAGTTTAGACCCTCTCTAAAAACAAAAACAAAAAACAAAAAACTAGGTCTTAACCACCAAGCTATACTACCTGCATATGGGATAGAAATCATTGGATTGAAACTAAGTTCTTTCATTGTGATAGTCAGGAGGGTTTACATAGTCTAGTTTTGTTCTTCTAGTAGTTAAAAGTATTATAACTTTTCTTTTCATCTTACGTGTTTGATAGCACCAAAGACTCTGCACAGAAACAGAAGAACTCACCCCTGTTGAGTGTAAGTAGCCAAACGATAACCAAGGAGAATAACAGAAATGTCCATTTGGAGCACTCAGAGCAGAATCCTGGTTCATCAGCAGGTGACACCTCAGCAGCGCACCCGGCGGTTTTAGGAGAAAACTTGATAGCCACAGCCCTTTGTCTTTCTGGCAGTGGATCTCAGTCTGATTTGAAGGACGTGGCCAGCACAGCAGGAGAGGAGGGGGACACAAGCCTCCGGGAGAACCTCCATCCAGCCACTCGGTCTCTTAAGGCAGGGTGCCATACAAAGCAGCTTGCCTCCGGGAATTGCTCTGAAGAGAAATCCCCACAAGCCTCCATCCTAAAGGAAGGTAACAGGGACACAGGCTTGGATTTCCGACCTGTAGTGTCTCCAGCAAATGGGGTTGAAGGAGTCCGAGTGGATCAGGATGATGATCAAGATAGCTCTTCCCTGAAGCTTTCTCAGAACATTGCTGTACAGGTCAAGTGTCAAGTTTCTACTACTAAAATGTAACTGGGGGGTGGTGGGGTTCAGGGTAGGAGCTATTTCTTCATATTTGGTGGAGAACTTGCTGGCTTGTTTTGTTTTTTGTTTTTTTGCTAGCAGCCATCGTACTACTTTGATACAGTGCCATGCAATGACTTCATTCTGATGTTCAGTAAATAAGAAAGCCGGTAGCTAGTGTCTCATCTTATGGCAAGTAGGAACTTTATGACCTACGTAGTCTCTTTCACTGAGTAACTGATGAGTTCAGGACATTAGCATTTGTATTTATCCCCTTTGTCCTTGCAGGAAGAGTCCTTGTTAATTCTCTGAGTCACATCTTAAGAAGTACAGTGTATCCTGCCTTCTAGTGACGGGTGTGCTTTGTTGTAGGAGAAAGTATGGGCACAACAGACTGTAGAGGGCAGACATCTCATCTCAGACTTGAGGCTTTCTCTCAGTCAGTCGTTGGGTCTTGTTTGGGTTATTTTGTGGGACTGATGATTAATGCAGGGTGGATGTTGGTGTCCATTTGCCAGAACTACATTGCTTAGCTTGCTTGGAAGCTGGTAAGGGGAAAGAGCAAAAAGTTAGTTACCTGTGGCAGAATTCTAGGTGTTAGTGATTCTGCCTCTTTTAAAGTGTCTCTGAACAATTCTAAATATAACTTTTTTCCTTTATAGACTGACTTTAAGACGGCTGATTCAGAGGTAAACACAGATCAAGATATTGAAAAGAATTTGGTAAGTATTTAAACTGTCATTGTTGTTATATGAAGTCATTATCAAACAGAAGATCTAGAGGCATATCATCTCAGTTGGAAAAGGTGCAGGAGTCCCCTTCATAAAATCCCTGACAGATGGTCAGCTAACTTTTCCTTGATCACTTCCAGAGATGGGAAGCTTACTACCTCACAACGCAACCAGTTACGTTTAAAAAAAAAATAGCTCTTATTGGCCAGGCACAGTGGCTCATGCCCATAATCCTAGCATTTTGGGAAGCTGAAGTGGGTGAATCGCTTGAACTCTGGAGTTTGAGACCAGCCTGGGCAACGTGGTGAAACCCCGTGTCTACAAAAAATACAAAAATCAGCCAGGTGTGGTGGTGGATGCCTATGGTCCTAGCTACCCAGGAGGCTGAGGTGGGAGGATCACCTGTTCACCTGAGCCCAGGAGGTCGAGGCTGTGTGAGCCATGATTGTGTGATTGTACTGCAGCCTGGGTGACAGAGTGAGACCCTGTCTCAAAAAAAATTAAAAAAAAAAAAAAAAAAAAAAAAAAGGCCAGGCACAGTGGCTCACACCTGTAATCCCAGCACGTTGGGAGGCCAAGGCAGGCGGATCACTTTAGGTCAAGAGTTCAAGACCAGCCTGGCCAACGTGGTGAAACCCCATCTCTACTAAAAATACAAAAGTTAGCTGGGCATGGTGGTGCATGCCTGTAATCCCAGCTACTCAGGAGGCTGAGGCAGGAGAATGGCTTGAACCTGGGAGGCAGAGGTTGTAGTGAGCCAAGATTGCACCACTGCACCCCAGCCTGCACAACAGAGAAGCTCCGTCTCAAAAAAACAAAATAAAAGCTCTTATTGTTAGATTTTATTCTGAGATGAAGATAAAACCCTTATAACTTCTTACTTCAGGCCGGGTGCAGTGGCTCACGCCTGTAATTCTAGCACTTTTGGAGGCCGAGGCGGGTGGATCACCTGAGGTCAGGAGTTTGAGACCAGCCTGACTAACATGGTGAAACCCTGTCTTTACTAAAAATACAAAAATTTAGGCCAGGCACGGTGGCTCACATCTGTAATCCTAGCGCTTTGGGAGGCTGAGGCAGGCAGATTGTCTGAGCTCAGGAGTTTGAGACCAGCCTGGGCAACATGGTGAAACCCCATCTCTATTAAAAATACAAAAAATTAACCAGGCGTGGTGGCGTGTGCCTGTAATCCCAGCTGCTTGGGAGGCTGAGGCATGAGATTAGCTTGAACCTGGGAGGCAGAGATTGCAGTGAGCTGAGATCGTGCCACTGCGCTCCAGCCTGGGTGTCAGAGTGAGACTGTCTCAAAAAAAAAACCAAACAACAACAAAAAAACGAAAAGTAGCCAGGGGTGGTGGTACTGCCTGTAATCCCAGCTACTTGGGAGGTTGAGGCAGAAGAATTGCTTGAACCCGGGAGGCTGAGGTGGCAGCGAGCTTCTTGTTTCAGGCCCGGTGTGGTGGCTCATGCCTGTAATCCCAGCACTTTGGGAGGCTGAGGTGGGTGGATCATGAGGTCAAGAGATTGAGACCGTCCTGGCCAATGTGGTGAAACCCTATCTCTACTAAAAATACAAAAATCAGCCGGGCGTGGTGGCACATGCCTGTAGTCCTAGCTACTTGGGAAGGTGAGACAGGAGAATTGCCTAAACCCGGGAGGTGGAGGTTGCAGTGAGCTGAGATTGCACCACTGCACTGCAGCCTGGTGACAGAGTGAGAATCCGTCTCAGAAAAAAAAAAGTTCTTACTATAGTTTTCTCTTGAGCCTTATGGAATAAATCCAGTTCCTTTCCTGCTTGTTAGCCCTGTGTATATTTGAAGTTTTTTTATGCCTGTTCCCCTTATTCTCTTTCTCCCCAAGTTCAAACCTTTCCAGGTGAAACATCCTCAGATGTTTTTAGTATTCTTTTTGATACTATTTTGATACTATTTTCCATTTCTTTATCATCATTCTGGTTACTTTCACCTAGACATGGTCCATTTTATCAATATTTGTTTTAAAAAGTGATCTCGAGAACCATATATGATAGTACAGATACAGTATAATTACTTTATAATATAGTGGAATCTCTTAGTATCTCTCACTCTAGACTTTCTTAAGCTTACATTGACTTATTTTGGCAATTTTTTCTTACTGTTAAGCTTTTAGTCAAATTCCATCCAGTCTTTTTTTTCATAGATTATTTACTTGTATCCTTCTAATTTTATCCCCAGATAGTTGATTTTTGAAGAGAACGTCACACTTACCTTTGTTAAAATGCTCCCTTTGATCCATCCCTGGCCTTTTGTGGCTAAAATGTCCACCTTTAAGTATATGAATATCTAAATGTACACTTTTTAAAAGGAAAGTAATACTGGGAAAGGCACCCCAGGAAGAGGTCTTTAGGGTAAGATATGTTAATTTATAAAGAGTAGTATAAAAAGGGAAAATGCTTGTAGCAACCAGATAAGATAGTGGATATTTGGTGCAAGTTGAAGAAATTGAAGGGTATATGGAAAAAGTTACTGGTGTACATTAACCAGATGAAGCCAATAAAAGTTTTAAAACAGAGAGTAGCAACTTGGGATGTAATTGTAACAGTCAACTAGATGAAGCAGGAATGAATGAAAACCCAGCAAGTACTGGACCAAAGGAGGACTAGAGTTGTGTTTTGTTTGGCTCTATCTTTTGGGTGGTAGTGAGGTCTACATGCTTTTAAAAAGGCAATGAGGCTGGGTGCAGTGGCTTACGCCTGTAATCTCAGCACTTCGGGAGGCCGAGGTGGGGGGTATCACCTGAAGTCAGGAGTTCAAGACCAGCCTGGCCAACATGGCAAAACCTCATCTCTACTAAAAATAAAAAAATTAGCTGGACGTAGTGGCAGCCGCCTGTAATCCCAGCTACTCTGGAGGCTGAGGCAGAGAGAATTGCTTGAACTTGGGAAGCGGAGGTTGCAGTGAGCCGAGATTGCACCACGGCACTCCAGGCTGGGCGACAGAGCAAGACTGTGTCTTAGACAAACAAAACAAAACAAAAACCCAAAAAATAAAAAAGGCATTGAAACTAAGCAGGTGTTAAGCTTGGTGGCAGTATATGAAACCTGACTCCTGTTCTGTTTTCTACCCTTTTCATGTATTTATGGCCATTGCCCACTGCCTACTTTCGAAAGTGTTTCTCCTAATCCTAGGAACCAACTAGCCAAGGATAAAGCAAAGTAACAGTATATAAACTCTTTAGCTCGTTAAGACTGGACAAATTGGATCAAGCATGCCTTTGAGTTATCTCCTTGTATGTAGTAATAGTATGCATGTTAATACTTTTTTCATGATACTAATTTTTATCCCCTGATCCTGGGTTCTAAACATGGATCATAGGCTGGGTGCCTTGGCTTATGCCTATAATCCCAGCACTTTAGGAGGCTGAGGTGAGTGGATTGTTTGAGTCTAAGAATTTGAGAACAACCTGGGCAACATAGTGAGACTTCATCTCTATAATAAAAATTATTATTATTATTTAGAAAAATGCATTATAGAAAAAGAAAAAAGTAAAGGAAAAGAGTTGTGGTTAAAAGAAAATAAAGGCTGGGCATGGTGGCTCACACTTGTAATCCCAGCACTTTGGGAGGCCAAGGCAGATGGATCCCTTGAAGTCAGGAGTTTGAGACCAGCCTAGCCAGCATGGTGAAACCCCGTCTGTACTAAAAATACAAAAACATTAGCCAGGCGTGGTGGCACGTGCCTGTAATCCCAGCTACTTGGGAGGCTGAGGCAGGAGAATTGCTTGAACCCGGGCTGCAGAGATTACAGTGTGCCGACATCACACCACTGCACTCCAGCCTGGGAGACAGAACGAGATCCCATCTCAAAAAAAAAAAGAAGTTGGGTGCGGTGGAGCACACCTGTAATCTCAGCACTTTGGGAGGCTAAGGCAGGCGGATTGCTTGAGGCCAGGAGTTTAAGACCGGCTTGGCCAACATGGCAAAACCCCATATCTACTAAAAATGCAAAAATTAGCAGAGCATGTTGGCTCACACCCTTAATGCCAGCTACTTGGGAGGCTGAGGCACAATAATCGCTTGAACCCGGGAGGCAGAGGTTACCATAAGCCGAGATTGCACCACTGCACTCTAGCCTGGGTCACAGAGTGAGACTCTGTCTCAAAAAAGAATAATCTACTGGTTTCAACTTTTCTTTGGTTAAGATCCTCTTTCAGTATCTTTTGGAAACTTTGAATTCTTGTCTCAGAAAGATATATACATACACCAGTTGCAGAAAGTTCAAAGATTCCCTGAGGTCCACCTGTAGAATCCAGGTTCAGAATCCCTGGAAAGGTGTGATGCTGAGGAATCAGCTGTTTGGGACACCTTAGTCACATTTCAGTACATGGACTAAAGATTAGCTTGTCCCAAAGCCAAGGTCCTATCTTGAGAGTCTTTTTTATTTTTTATTTTATTTATTTATTTATTTATTTTGAGACAGAGTCTCGCTCTGTCACCCAGTCTGGAGTGCAGTGGCACAATCTCTGCTCACTGCAACCTTTGCCTCCTGGGTTCAAGTGATTCTCCTGCCTCAGCCTCCCAAGTAGCTGGGATTACAGGCATGTGCCACCATGCCTGGCTAATTTTGTATTTTTAGTAGAGACGGGATTGCACTATGTTAGCCAGGCTGATCTCGAACTCCTGACCTCAGGTGATCCGCCCACCTCAGCTTCCCAAAGTGCTGGGACTACAGGTGTGAGCCACCGTGCCTGGCCTTGAGAGCCTTTTGTAAACATGATTATAGTATGATATTTTCCCTGTTCGTTTTTAAAATTTTTTTTCTTTGAAAAGAGTTATTTAATGAAAAAATTCAGTTTAGTGCTCTCAGTTTAAATATTATGTGGGCTACTTCATACTAAATGTGTTTTAAGTTGGCCCTCTTCAAATTTTAGTGTCCCTTTGAAAGGTAACCATTGATTTTCTTGATTTACTGACATGGGGGTGGCAGAGCTAAACTGTTTTCAGAAGCAGTTCTATTTTTTTATTTATTGTTGTTGTTTTTTGATAGAGACCAGGTATTACTACATTGCCCAGGCTGGTCTTGAGCTTCTGGCCTCAAGCAGTCTTCCTGCCTTGGCCCCTCAAAGTGCTGGGATTATAGGCCAGAACCACCGTGCCTTGTCTAGAAGCCTCACTTCTAATCCAGACTTTATATGAAAGCTTGCTGAGTTGTTCAGTCTGAATACCAGGTTCCCAGACATCTTTAGAGGATCCATCAGTTTTCAGTGTTATTAACCAGTAAGGAGTCATGTTCCTGGACGCTTTTTTGAGAGAGTCTTGCTCTCTCGCCTAGGCTGAAGTGCAGTGGCGTGATCTCAGCTCACTGTAACCTCTGCCTCCCAGGTTCAAGCAATCATCCCACCTCAGCCTCCCAAGTAGCTGGGACTACAGTCGGGTACCGGCATGCCCAGCTAATTTTTGTATTTTTTTAAGAGCCCAGGTTTTGCCATGTTGCCCAAGCTGGTCTCGAATTCCTGAACGCAAGTGATCCGCCTACCTCAGCCTCCCAAAGTGCTGCAGTTATAGGTGTGAACCACCATGCCCAGCCAATCTCATCATATGTTAATGAATTTAAATTTATATAGCCACATATGGTTAGTAGCTTCATTATTGGATAGTGCAGTCATAGAGCTCTATACAATGCCTTGGACAGTCACTGGTGAATGTTTCTTGTGATTAAATTAGGAAATAAACTTTTCTTGTCTTGTTTATAATAGGATAAAATGATGACAGAGAGAACACTGTTGAAGGAGCGTTACCAGGAGGTCCTGGACAAACAGAGGCAAGTGGAGAATCAGCTCCAAGTGCAATTAAAGCAGCTTCAGCAAAGGAGAGAAGAAGAAATGAAGAATCACCAGGTATTTTGCTTATATTGAAATTGTCAATGAGTTAAGCAGCAGTCTCTGATCAAACTTTAATTTTTTAAAAACTTTATGTATTTATTTATTTTTGAGACAGTCTCACTCTGTCACTCAGCCTGGAGTGCAGTAGCATAATCTTGGCTCACTGCAGCCTCTGTCTGCTGGGCTTAAGTGATCCTCCCACCTCAGCCTCCCAAGTAGCTGGGAACGCAGGTGCATGCCACTATGCCTGGCTCATTTTTTATGTTTTTGGTAGAGACGGGGTTTTGCCATGTTGCCCAGGCTGGTCTTGAACTCCAGACTCAAGAAATCCGCCCGCTTTGGCCTCCCAAAGGAGGCCTTTTTATTTCAGTTAACTCAAAAATAAAATTAAAGTTTGAGCCGTCCATACCCAACTCAAACTTTTAATTTTATTTTTGAGTTAATTGAAATAAAAAGGCAAGGCCGGATGTGGTGGCTCATACCTGTAATCCCAGCGCTTTGAGAGGTCGAGGCTGGTGGATCACTTGAGTCCAGGAGTTCGAACCAGCCTGGGCAACATGGCAAAATCCCATCTCTACCAAAAATACAAAAAATGAGCCGGGCATGGTGGTGCATACCTGTGGTCCCAGCTACATGGGAGGCTGAGGTGGGAGGATTGCTTAAGCCCAGAAGGCAGAGGTTGCAGTGAGCCGAGATTGTGCCACTGCACTCCAGCCTGAGTAACAGAACGATACCCTGTCTCAAAGAAAAGTATTAATACTCATAGACTTTTTTTTTTTTTTGAGACAGAGTCTCACTCTGTCACCCAGGCTGTAGTGCAGTGGCACAATCTCTGCTCACTGCAAGCTCCACCTCCTGGATTCATGCTATTCTCCTGCCTCAGCCTCCTGAGTAGCTGGGACTATAGGTGCCTGCCACCACGCCTGGCTGATTTTTTTTTTTTTTTAATAGTAGAGATGGGGTTTCACTGTGTTAACCAGGATGGTCTTGATCTTCTGACCTCGTGATCCGCCTACCTTGGCCTCCCGAAATGCTGGGATTACAGGCGTTAGCCACTGTGCCAGACCACTCATAGACTTTTAATAGAGAATGTTTGGATACATTAGATATATCCATATGTTATACAGCTATTTTTGAATTAGATCGATATTTATTGACATAATACATTCATGTCAAGTAAAAGAAATCAGGATGCAAAGTAATGTATGTAAAACGACCTCATTAAAAAAAAAGCAAAGAAATGCATACGTAAGTATGTCTTTGTGTGAGCATAGAGAAAGATGTGAAAGCATAATACAAAGCAGTTAACACATTGATCACTCTTATGGGTGGAAGTGGTATGAAGTGGGGGAGTGACTCTTTATCACCTTTGTGTTATTTTACTTTTTCTTTTTTTTTTTCTTTTTTTTTGAGACTGGGTGTTGTTCTGTTGCCCAGGCTGTAGTACAGTGGGTGCAATCAAGGCTCACTGTATCCTTGACTTGACTTTCTGGGCTCAAGCTATCCTTCCACCTCAGCCTCTCGAGTATCTGGACTACAGGCATGTGCCACCACGCCTGGCTAATTTTTTTTATTTTTTGTAGAGACAAGGTCTCTATGTTGCCTAGGCTGGACTCGAACTCCTGGACACGCCGATCTTCCTGCCTTGGGTTCCCAAAGTGCGAGGATTATAGGCATGAGCCACTGTTCCTGGCCTGTTTGACTTCTTATTTAAAAAAAAAAAAAAGTGTGTGTTTGTACATATATATGTTTGTGTATATATATATGTGTGTGTGTATATATGTGTATATTTGTTGTTGTTAAAGAGTGAAACAGACAAAACTCATTCCTAATAAAGTAGAATCATAACAAAATGAAACAAAACAATATTTGTTGGATGTAACAGACCCTCACCTGGTACGAGAACACCTTTCTCGGCGTTCTCGACAGGTGTTCATTCAGCCTTTATTTGAACACCAGTAATGGAGAGCTTACTGCTTCACGAGGCAGTATATTCCATTTTTGAACGATTGCAATTGCTAGAAATTATTTTTCCTGTTGAGTTGAGATCTGCATTACTGTAACTTTCTCCTTTAGGTCTGAATACTGGCTTTTGGAGCTACTCATCAACCACATTCTTTCAATTCAATTTGAATTCACTAAAGTCAACACGTGAATTTATGATAGTTGAAAATAACCTTCGCATCAAAAGAACTAACTTATTTTCTTTTTTATTTGTGTGCGACTGTAATTGTTCGGAACTCAGGAGATATTAAAGGCTATTCAGGATGTGACAATAAAGCGGGAAGAAACAAAGAAGAAGATAGAGAAAGAAAAGAAGGAGTTTTTGCAGAAGGAGCAGGATCTGAAAGCTGAAATTGAGAAGCTTTGTGAGAAGGGCAGAAGGTAACTGATGTTAAGAATAAAAACCCTGTATGTATGTATATATGCATGAGGGGCCAGACCTGTTTGTATTTGTAGTTTCTTTCCCTTTGGTTTAATTTTTATTTGAAAAATAAGTGTGCAAGCAAAAACTCTCCAATGACTTTAGGTTTTTCAGTATCAAACATTAGACTTCATAGAAAAAAGTTCAGAGATTTATTAAATACTTTGAAATAATAACAGTTAATTGTTGAGTCCCAAGTGTGGTCAAGATTTTGATACAGTCTGGACGTAGCGGCTCACACCTATAATCCCAGTGCTTTGGGACGCCAAGGTGGGAGGATTGCTTGAGGCCAGGAGTTTGAGACCAGCCTGAGCAAGCTAGCAAGACTCCCTCTCTACAAAGAAATAAAAAAAAAAAATTAGCTGGTTGTGGTGGCACGTGGCTGTAGTCCTAGCTACTTGGGAGGCTGAGGTGGAAGAATCGCTTGAGCCCAGGAGTTCCAGGCTGTACTCAGCTATGATTACGCCACTGCACTCCAGCTTGGGTGACAGAGCAAGACCTTGTCTCTTAAATAAAAAAATTTTTTTATATGAATCTAACACTGATTTCACTTTATAACCTGATGTTTACAAGTTCAGACCATAGGCCAGGCACGGTGGCCTGTTATCCCAGCACTTGGGGAGGCTGAGGCAGGTGGATCACAAGGTCAGGAAATCGAGACCATCCTGGCCAACATGGTGAAACCCCATCTCTACTAAAATATACAAGATTAGCTGGGTGTGGTGGCACACGCCTGTAGACCCAGCTACTTGGTAGGCTGAGGCAGGGGAGTCACTTGAACCCAGGAGGCGGAAGGTGGAGGTTGCAGTGAGCTAAGATCGTGCCACTGGACTTCAGCCTGGTGACAGAGTGAGACCCCGTCTCAGAAAGAAAAAACAAAACCAAGTTCAGACCATGAGCATACTTTGAATGATTCCATTTATGTTATTCAGCATCCGAAGTAAATTTCAGACAGTAACTTTGTAAGCTGTTTGTGAAAGAATTATTTAGTGGATTTGTGTCCTTTTCTAGGTACTGCAGAAAAAGCAAAGTGGCCATAGAATTTGGTCAAATTCTCAATTTTCTAAGTTTCTTTTTTTTTTTCTTTTGAGACGGAGTCTTGCTCTGTTGCCCAAGGTGGAGTGCAGTGGCATAATCTCGGCTCACTGCAAGCTCCGCCTCCCGGGTTTACGTCATTTTCCAGCCTCAGCCTCCTGAGTAGCTGGGACTACAGGCGCCCCCCATCATGCCCAGCTAATATTTTTGTATTTTTAGTAGAGATGGGGTTTCACCGTGTTAGCCGGGATGGTCTCGATCTCCTGACTTCATGATCTGCCTGCCTCGGCCTCCCAAAGTGCTGGGGTTACAGGTGTGAGCCACCATGCCCGGCCAATTTTCTAAGTTTCTTAAAATGACCTGTTTGAAAATCAGAATAGCTGTGAATACTTTGTTGATTTTATTTAAGTTCTACCAAAATGCTTTTTGTTTATCAAAAAAATTTTGGCTTTTTCCAATGCGTCAGACTGCTGAGTTAGCAAGCTCATATGCTGAATCATTTTCTGAGTCTCCGAGATAATAACTGTGAAGCTCAACATGAGGAATTGTGTTTGAGAGAGGGCTTGTAGACCAATCAGTTGTTCTGTTGAGAATCTAGTGATACCGAATGATTAGAAGGTGGGTCGGTTGTCTATAATGATAATTTTCCAGAAATTATGAAGAGTGTACCTGGAATAGAACACTGTCCCAGCCACTGTCAGTGATCAAAGCAGTTGCTCCCACCCCATGACATGGTCTCTGCCATTGTCTTCACAGTCTGTGTGAGAAAGATGACCATAGATATGTAGCAACTTAGCAGCAGATATTAAAGTGCAGAAACTGGGAAGATGAGTCTATAATGTTATTCTAAGCCCCGCAGAAAATTTCCTTTTGATGTGTGCTCTTTACATTCTTTTTTCTTTTTTTTTTTGAGATAGAGTCTTGCTCTGTCGCCCAGGTTGGAGTGCAGTGGCACAATCTCGGCTCACTGCAATCTCTGCCTCCTGGGTTCAAGTGATTCTTTTGCCTCAGCCACCTGAGTATCTGGGATTACAGGCAAGTGCCATCATGCCCAGATAATTTTTTAAATTTTTTTATAAAGATGAGGATCTCACTCCGTTGACCAGGCTGGTCTCAAACTTCTGGCTTCAAGCGATCCACTTGCCTTGGCCTCCCAAAGTGCTGGGATTACAGGTGTGAGCTACCGTGCCCAGCCTTTTTTTAATTTTTAATTTTTATTTTTTTACCTTCAACAAACTCACTTTTACTCTTTACATTTTTTATGTAACTCTACTATCTTTTCCATTTGATTGAATTGCTACAGATGGTGATTGATACTAATAATTTTGGTGTTTGTGTTCTTGAAGATCCATTTTTTTCTTTAAATTTATATGTCACAGTGTCAGAATAATGTTTTTTGCCATTCTTTCTGTTAAGTGTGGGATTCAGTTTTCCGGAAGCAGGGGGAATGTCTTTTGTAGGAATCTTTGTTCTAGCAGTGGTGTAGGTTTTGCTTAGCATTCCATCATTCATAGGAACCAGGACGCATAGATTTTGGTCATTATATTAGTCACCTTGGCCTGCCATAACAGAATACCATTGACTAGGTGGCTTAAACAGCAGAATATTTTACAGTTCTGGAGGCTGGAAGTCCAACGTAAAGATGCTGGCAGGTTTGGTTTCTGGTGAGAATCTTTTCCTGGCTTGCCGACAGCTGCCTTCTTCTGGTCTCACATGGCTTTTGCGCTATGCATGCATATTCCTGGTGTCTCTTCCTCTTCTTATAAGGACACCAGTCCTATTGGATTAGGTTCCCACTTTATGACTTCATTTAACCATAATTGCCTCTTTCAAGGCCCACTATCCAAATACAATTACACTGGGGTTAGGGCTTCAAGATAGGAGTTTTAAGGGGCACAGTTCAGTCCATAACAATTATATTTCCTGTTTCTAGTGTTTTCATTCATTTGTTCAGCCAGCATTTATTGAATATCTACTATGAGCCAGACAGTAGGGCCTGGAGAGTAAAAAGTCTTCAAAGAGATTACTGTTTATTATGAGAGACAGATAGATAAACAGATGATTGCAAAATAGTGTAATGATACCATGACAGTGGTGGTATGAAAGCATCTGAAAGAGGCACATAACCCAGACTGGGTAGGGGAGTCATAGAGGGCTTCCCAGGGGATATCATTCCAGAATCGAGTCCTGAAAAATAAGGGGCCGAAGATAACCACCAAATGAAATGCATGATCCTTGGTTTTATCCTGAATCAAACAAACTATAATTATAGGACATTTTGGAATAATTGGGAAAATTTCAATACGGACTACGTGTTAGGTAATATTGTGTCAGTGTTACATATTTTGAGTGTATAAGCCCATGTTGAAAAAAGTTTAAGAAATTAAAAAAATATTTTGCATGTGATTATGACATTGTTTCATTATGTAGAAAGATGTTCTTGTTCATAAGAGATACTTGCTGAAGTTTTAGGAGTTAAGTGTCATGATATAAATGTGGCAAAAAATGTAACAACTGATAAATCTAGATGACAGGTAGATATTCATTTTATTATTTTATTAACTTTTTGTTGGTTTAAAATTTTCGAAGAAAAAGTAACAGGGGTCAGGGTAGGTATAGGGAAGAATTAGCCAGGCAACAAATGAAGGAAAAGACACTGCCGGCCAGGGACTCCGAAATGAGAGAGAAAAGCAAGCCAGATGTGAAGTGGGGGAATGAGGCCAGATCAGAAAAGGCTTTTATACTGTGTTAAGGAATTTGAGTTTCTCCATGATAGAGATATTGAAGGATTTTTAAGGGAGGAGAGTATCAAATGATACAATTTGCGTTTTATTTTTATTTTATTTTACTTTTTTATTTTTTGAGACAGAGTTTTGCTCTGTTGCCCAGGCAGGAGTGCAGTGGTACGATCTTGGCTAACTGCAACCTCCATCTCCTGGGTTCAAGTGATTCTCCTGCCTCAGCCTCCCGAATAGCTGTAACTACAGGCCTGTGCCACTATGCCTGGCTAGTTTTTGTGTTTTTAGTAGAGACAAGGTTTCACCATGTTGGCCAGGCTAGTCTTGAACTCCTGACCTCAAGTGATCCACCCGCCTTGGCCTCCCAAAGTGGTAGGATTATGGGTGTGAGCCATCATGCCTGGCCTACAATTTGCATTTTAAGTAGATTACTTGGGCAGTTGGAAAATGGATTGGATTAGTGTATTTGACCAGTTAAGGGGACTTACCTTGTCAGAGCCTAGGTTAGAATAATTATGGCTGAAACTAAAGTAGTGCCAGTGGGAATGAGAGAAGTGAACACATTTATAAGACATTTAGGGGCAGCACTGATCAATGTGGGTAGACAGGGTTGAGTTAGGGATCACTCCCATATTTCTGGCTTGGAAAATTAGGGAAATAATGGGGTTCTTTAATAAGATGTCTTATCTGTCTTATACGTTTTAACTTAAATTCTGCCTTCTTTGCAGAATTGCTTGTGCCATTTCTTTATGAACTGAATCTGAAATTTTTGTTTTGTTTTGTTTTGTTTTGTTTTGTTTTTTGAGACGGAGTCTTGCTCTGTCACCCAGGCTGGAATGCAGTGGTGTGATCTCGGCTCACTGCAGCCTCCATCTCCCGGATTCAAGCAATTCTCCTGCCTCAGACTCCCAAGTAGCTGGGACTACAGGTGCCTGCCACCACACCTGGCTCATTTTTTGTGTTTTTAGTAGAGACAGGGTTTCACTGTGTTAGCCAGGATGGTCTCAATCTCCTGACCTCGTGATCTGCCCGCCTTGGCCTCCCAAAGTGCTAGGATAACAGGCATGAGCCACCTCTCCTGGCCTGAAAATTTTTTTTTTTAATGTTTTATTCTTTTTTTCTTTTAGTGCCATATATCTGATAATTATTTGGTAAGTGTTTATTCTATCACTGGATTGGAAATTAAG